ATCAAATGCTTTCTGTTGAGTGTCGGTCCAGGTAAAGCTGATGTCTTTCTTCGTCAGGTCGTTCAGAGGTCGTGCTATTTTGGCAAAATTCCGGATAAAGCGTCGGTAGAAGTTTGCAAATCCCAAGAACCCTCGTAGTTCCCGAAGATTAGTAGGGACTGGCCAGTCGCGAACAGCCGCTACTTTTACTGGATCCATTCTCACCTCCCCTTCTGAGATGATGAGTCCGAGGTATTCAATCTGTTGTTGTTCAAATTCGCATTTTTCTGGTCGTAGGTAGAGGTCGTGCTTTTCTAACCGGGTTAATACTTCCCGTACCATTCGTCGGTGTTCCTCGAGATCGTTACTGAAGATAAGGATGTCATCTAGGTAGACTGCCACCTTGCCGGCTGCAATGAGATCAGCAAATATAGCATTCATAAGTGCTTGGAACGTGGCAGGGGAATTTGTGAGACCAAAGAACATGACCTTAGGCTCGAACAAGCCTCGGGTTGTTGCGAACGCGCCTTTCCATTCATGCCCCTTCTTAATCCGTATGTTATTGTAACCCCAGCGGACATCAAACTTCGTGAAGTATCTGGCTCCCTGAAGTCGACTAATGATATCAGCAACTAATGGAAGAGGGTATCGGTTCTTCACAGTGTACTCGTTCAGTTTCCGGTAGTCTTGTACGAAACGGAGTTTCCCATCCTTCTTCTTTACGAAGAAGACCGGTGATGAGATTGGTGATTTTGAGGGGACGATATAGCCTTTCCGTAGGTTTTCTTCTAGGAAACGATCCAACTCCTCCTGCTCATTTAGGGACATGGGATAAATCTTGGTACGCATGGTTGCCGGTGCTCCAGGTACGAGATCAATCGCATGGTCCCAAGGTTGGTGGGCAGGTAATCGTTCGGAGGCGGATTCTGAGAAAACCTTCTTGAAATCACGATACTGCTCAGGGACCATTTCTTCGAAGGTTTTAACAGGTTTGTCTCGGTTGGCTTCCTCTGCTAGCTGCTGGGAGTAAGTGAATCCTGCGGCGCACCAGACTTCCTCCGTCTGTTCCTCTAGAATTCCTGCTTTTACCCATGCCCGGCGAGTTTTATGATTGGCTCGAATTCGGTGTATTGGTGGTTCTTCCACCGCTGCTGATTCACTTGGTTCAAGGGTCGCTTCTAGTGGCTCCTCAATGTGGGGGTTTTCTGCGGGAGGTTCCAGTTCCGGGAGTTCGAGGATCGGGGTTTCTGTGTGAGTGGCGGCTAGATGAGAGTACAAGATCTCCTCGTCTGGGACTTCTTCTATCGTTACTCGAGGAGGCTTTACTGAAAGTCGTCCTTTCTCCCAATCAATCTCCGGATTTACCTTCCGTAGCCAGGGGAGTCCAAGGATGATGTCTTCACCTCCTAGGTTGGTGATCAGAAAGTCCATCCATCGCTCTTGATTATCCACTGTGAGTGCTAGACGTGCAAAATGGGTTATCCGTCCAGCTCGGTTAGGTGTTCCATCGATATTAAAAACGTCGATCGGTTTATGGAGGGGTGCACATCTTACATGGTTCCGGGTGACAAAGTCTTGGTTTAAAAACAGGGCGGTAGCTCCACAGTCTACCATGGCTGCAGTTGTTATACTGTGATTCCTTCCTCTTAGTCTCGCATGAATTCGGAAATGTGGGGAAGTAGAGTTTAATTCCCGGATCGACGATATTGTACATGATGGGTGCGAGTCATACGAGGAAGTAGCGAACATAACAAACTGATTACGGGGTACTCTCGGTGCAGCCGAAGCGGGTACCCTCTTTAAAAACCCTGTTGGAAGCCAGAGGACGAGGAGGACATAGCGTTAGCACGATCAAGTAATTCCCTTATTTGACCAATCTGATTGGAAAAGTCCTGGTTAGGGGGGCTCGGAGTAGCAGCTACGGGTGCAGAAGCAGATGTTGGGGTCGAGGACGCGATTTGGACGGATTCGTTTGGGAATAGGGAGAATGGCGCGGGTCCCGTAGCGGATATCTGTTGGCGTCGAGGTTGCTGGCGTCGGCCTCGGTCTCGTCCGAGTCCCATAAATTTGTCTTGGCAGACTGCTTCCAGATGTCCTCGACGTCCACAGTAGCGGCAGGTGGTTTCTCGGTGTGGGCAGTTTTGCTTGACATGACCTTGGGCACCGCAGCCGAAGCATCGTCCTCGCATGCGAGCTAGGAATGCTTCCCTAGTATTCCCATTACTGGTGTGGGTTGCATCAATGTCCATAGCGTGGGGGTCAGCAGGGGTAGTATGAGCAGTATGCGTGGGAGGGTATCCAGAGTTCCGGCCAGTCATGGTGGGATTGTGCAGGTAGACATCCACCGATATGGCCCGTTTGATTGCCTCCTTCAGAGTCGGAGCAATTCCTTGGGCAATGTTTACGGTGATGAGGTGTTGTCGGATCTCTGGGAGTAATGCAGTGAAGAAACGTTCCCGCAAGTCAATATCAGACATTTCAGTCCGATCTCCGATATCCTTGAACTTCTGAGCGAATTCCGCAACTGTCTGTCCTTTACTTTGCCTGAGATTCTTGATCTCGCTACGGGCTTCCATACCTGGGTCCATTGGTTCAAACCGTTGGCTAAATTCCTTCAGAAACGCCTCCCAATTTCCTCCGAAAGGGGGATTTTCCGCATTGAAATGTAGCAGATGGGGAGTTGCCCAATCTCCGGCACTTTCTGTGAAGAAGCCCAAGGCGGACTTGATGAGTTTTACCTGGCTTTTGGCGAGATCCGGTTGTTCTGACGCCCAATTCTGGAACTGAGCCATGAAGCGACGGGCTTCAGCGCCATCTTTACCCTTGAAAACCTCGGGTTTGTTCATGCTTGACTTGGAGGATGAGCGTTCCTCCATAGCTGTAGCAAGGTTAGCTACTTGTCTGATGAGCTGAGCCATGAGATCATCCGCAGAGGTGTTTGGGGCAGGCGGGATAGGAGTCGACATGATGGGAGTAGGCAATCGGGGCTGAGGAATCGGCAGGAAGGTTATATTGCTCACAGTGAGTGGCTCTCGGATTGAGTTCGAAAGGGCGTTGGGGCAAGGTTGAGACTGGCAGTCGCGCCAAGTATCGTCGTTGTTATGGGCGTGAGCTTGGTCTCTGGGGTCAAGTGCGTGCGGGAGTGCGGAGCAGTCTATACTGGCAACAGGTGTTTCAGAGTCGGGCGGAACTGGGGAAGACGTGGTGTCTATAGACCCTGCAAGGACAACCTTATTGGTAGGCTGTCAGTGCAGTAATGGATCTTGACCTAATGTCACGAAGCGGCAGAGGCGGAGTGACTAACGGAGCGGGAAAGCGGAGCGACTAAGCAGAACGGTGAGGCGGAGCAACTGGACAAGGCAACAAGGCGGAGCGACTAAGCAGAACGGCGGCAGACTGGTCCCAGATAATGACAGAGATATATTGAGTATCGTAGTCATAGGTAATAATAAGTAAGCACATACCTGGTCCCAGATAATGACAGAGAGGTCAAGATAAGGGACCAGGCTGTGGAGGGTTGGCTATATATACATAATCCGGTCTGCGAGAAACAACGATGTAATACTGTACAGTTTAGGAACAAGGAAGGTGGCGGAAGCCAATAGAAGGAGAAGATGGGTCAGGTGGATCAGTAATCGATGGATCAGTAATCGATGGGGGTTTGACAGTGATGGGATGATGTATCGTACAAGTAAAGGCGTCGGGACGGTGAGAAAAGGAAAATGATAGGGGCTGCGTACTTTATGACACGAACGTGGTTGTAACACGTCGCGGAGATGTTGTATGTGCATATGACGCTTTTGCAAAGCACTGGCAGGTCAACGACAAATTACCGGACGAATTCTCCCTCTTTGCCTATATCGACAACAAAGGAATCCCTCAGCATATGGTTAAACATGTATTCCTCACTTTTTGTTACGGCGTCTGGGAACGAGCGGCAATGCGTCATGTCCTGGGCCATAGTTTCAGAATTGGAGGAGCTGTCGAACTCCTTCTCGCAGGTGTTTCGCCAGAGGTGGTTGCAATGATCGGAGGTTGGACCTCACTGGCTTTTCTTCTATATTGGAGACGTATGGAACACATCATCCCAACACATTTGGCGAAGGCTTATTCACGGACTCAAATTGATGCTATTTCGGACAACATAGAGCAATATAGAAAGAAGAATAAAGTTAGTAATGAACTCATCACTGCTTGTATGGCTGGTTTAGATATTACCAACATTTCGGACGATACTTAAACTCTCGTACTTCCTTTTACACACAGAAAATACATACAATTTTGGCAGTTAATAATCAGAGTCCTCAGCTCTATTCGGGGTACAACTCCAATAGTTATTCGGAGTGTGCTGGGAAGGAGCCTCGGCTCTGTCTGGGTGATTCGCACTCTCCTCATTCACGGGTGGGAGCGCGGGGCTTCGCCCCCAGGCAAAACCTTCTGATATATTGATACCAACTATCATATACAAAGTAGAATATCTCGGTATACATATAAGCTCACTCGAATAACTTATTCCGAGATAAGTCAACCGTAGGTTGGCTTATCATAGGATAAGATAAGGAGTGGCGATGAGTGTTATTAGGTGCTCGTCCGTTCTCACTCACGACACTCATCGCAATACATCCCACAATCCCACCTTTCGTCGTAATCCCACCCACCCTCCCTTTCTTTATTTCAGTGTCTGACGGGTAAGCTACCACAGCCCAGACACTCCGGGCTCAAAAGTCTCCGTTTAGCGGTGTGTTGCCCACCCGCGCGGGGCTTTGCCCCCAGGCAAAACCTTCTGATATATTGATACCAACTATCATATACAAAGTAGAATATCTCGGTATACATATAAGCTCACTCGAATAACTTATACACAGGTTAAACAGTAAAGGCGCTTGCTGGGCGCTTGGCAACTCAGTTATTTTCCACCGTGGGACAATCAAACGCGCGCACGTGATCAAGCAGCATCGCGTTTACTAATAATTATGTAACCTTTAACGTATCACTACGGCAAGCAGAATGAACATAACACTCTACAAGGCGGTAGCTGTAGCTGTAGCTAAGAAGGAGCTCCAGGAAGCCAAAGTTTCGCTTGGAACAATCAGCGAAGATGCTGTCGTTCCATGACCATAAAATATGGCTGTAGTTCCAGGCATAACATCTTCCGCAAGGATTGAATCCTCACCGCCAACTACATGAGACCCAAGAACCAATCCGGTTGTGTTTGACCCAAGGATGAATTCCCGCAGAAACACGAACGCCTGAAGTATCAAATGTCAATAATTCCATAAAGAAATGAGAGCAGGACTGACCGCCTCAGGAACAGACATCGGAACGAAGTGACCCGCGTTTTGGAATAGTGCATAGGTGAGGTTTCTTTCTTGATGGACAATTCCCGCAAATCGTCCTTCATCGTCTGTAAATGGGGTGGCTGGTTTGCGAGTAAACCCTTGGATACCGCCGAAAGTGATATTTTGGATTACGACTGGGCGCACGCAGCAATTCAGCAACCTCCTTTCGCTTATAATTCTTACGGAAGCTAACCTTGGAGTCCTCGGTGTGCAACTAGCGAGTCATCGTTTCCTTCGTATATGATGATATGAACACCCCTATCGCTCGCGTTGGTAGCGAGTTCAGTCATGAATGCCATTGGTCTGTACTTGAAGTTAGATCCTGCGAGCGCAATGCGTCTGCGAAGCGTGAATTTGAAACTTACTCGACGCCTAAGAGACCAAGGTCAGTCAGCTGCAGAGATAAATAAGGAACGCCTTACTAGGATCTCCAAACGGATTTGTTCCGGGTCCTAAAATATTATGAAACACAATCAGTTTGTCGATAGTTAATGGTGATTGTCTTGTCTAACCTTCGGATGTAGAGTTACCGAAGGGGTTACTGAAGATCTCCACCCACTCTTTAATCGGAGCGTGTAAAGCAGCGCGAGTGCGATTATCTGGGTAAAAGCTAGTCAACGCGATTGCAGGCAATGTTATGTGCATCCAGACCATTTAAAAAGACACTTGGATCAGAAGGAACCTCGGGGCGAAGGGCGTCCGGAATATCATAAGCCTATTAAGGAAGGTTGGAGTGAACCAGGAAGTAGAGTTCAGAGGCCACTAACGTCAAATTCGCCTACGGCTGTAGATGGAATTGAAATACCACGTTGAGCAACAAATTTTCACAGAACCCGAACACACGACTTACTCCAGGGAAAGGTAAAATTTTGTGCGTAACCAGTCATCTCCTCCCACAAGAAGCATCCATAGGTAGGATCGAGGGTACCGTTGGGACGACCGATAAGATTTCGCTTCAATATGGTTCTCCTCTCCTCAAGTTCTGCTGTCCTACTTTCTATGTCACGGGACTCAAGCGAAGAAACGGCAGCAGAAAGCGCCCTTTTGCTTAAGCTTCGCTTTCTGGGTACTTGGGGTTGGACTTGAGAATTTGCAAAGACACTCGTAGTGGTAAAAGGATCAGTTATTGTAGGAATTATACCATGTTGAGGGTAGGTCAAGTTTACGTCATATCCACACAAGTGCTCCCTAAATTCCTGCTCAGCCAGATCTAAGAATGTCAATGAGCAGATGAATACGTACTGCTCCTTGAAATACTGGAACACATCCGGGTCAAATCCAATGATTTCAGGATATGTTTCGAGTGTGATGACCTGGGTATACAGATCAGTAAGCAAAGATTGGGAAACGGAGAAAGTTTTATCACCGTGGAAAGTTCCTCGTACAAGGCGAACCCGCCAATGGTTCCGTCACCAATCGAGATTTTACGCAGATTCACCGGCGGATTGGGCGTCGAGAAGATTGCTTTCGTGATATATGGCTAAGGGATCAACATCTTTCAAGATTATCAGCTCGACGTGGAAAGTATGTATGACTCACGATGAATGTTCCAGCATAACTCTCTCCGGTGAGATAGAACGGCCGAGTGGCAAGACTCGGGAAGACTTTGACGAGATTTGTGAGGAATCCGACCTGATTTGAAGCATTGAGCCAGGATCGTAAAAAAGAAATTGATACACACGAAATCCTGCCCTAATTGGTCTTCACCGTCGACTGAAAAATGATTAGTCAAGCGGCTGATAGTCTGTAAATAAGCCAAATACCGTAACCAGCAGCATCTGATGTCGAGAATCCGGTGCCAACTGTTCAAAAAATATAAGATCATAGCGAGACACCATTGATTAAGTTGACCTGGCTGGTCTACCCAGAAAGCATCTGCTAACTTGTTCCAACTGAATTCATTTTCAACGATGGAGTAATTTCCCGTCACTTGAAGCGGACCGTTCTCTGTCATGAGACCTACAAGACTGGAAGAGCCCGGACTAGTAAAATGGAGACCAAAGACAGTTGATGATGATTCAAACCCGAGTTGATTGAGACTCACCCTCCGTTCAGCCAGATGAGCCATGGCTCATCGTCCCGTTCCCCAGCGCGCGCAGTGAGCGACCCTTCTTCCTTCTCAAATGCCCAAAACCAAAGGGTGTTGTTGGGATGTCCGACGCGATTGACCCCGATATTGCCGGCGAAATTTCGTGCGATTGGTTCAGTGACATTTGGTAACGGGTCAGTGACTTCAAAATCTACAGCTAAATTTTAGAAAAGATACTTTGGTGGAATTGAAGACGTACATTTTTGCCATGCCGGGCTGAAATCTCCTTCAGGTATTCCTGTATAGTTGTGAGGGAAAGTACCTAATACGAGTGGTGAGACGCCATGTGAGCTCACACGTAAGCTCAAGACAGAAAAGACAACTTACTTGGCAGACGTTGCGAAAGTGCTTGAGAGGCAGATAGAAGTAGCAGTAACAAGCCAGAGAGATCGAGCATCGCGAGGACTTGTTCAGAGTATGTTCGTCAAACCGCAGGTATTCTTATAGCTTTATTTTCGGTCGCGCATACTAGACCATGTTGAGATAATTGTCCGTGATCCTTCCGAAGAAGAGAAGCTTCAAAGTTGGAATCAAGTTAGCATATGCAGACTCCCATTTTTACAATCGCGAACGTTACCAAACCAGCACAACATCAATCACAAAAAGATAAGACAGAGTCAATGTCCATCAGCTGCGGGTGTGGAGCTCGTGGCATTAGGGAAAGATGAACAGAAAGACGAGAGAAATCGTCGAGCAAAAGTGAGTTCCCCCGTTCCGGCCCGTTCTCTCGCGAGGTTTCTTCGATCCATGACACTCGTTGTGGCTTCTCTGATAATTGAGAAGGCTTTCGAGAATACATCTCTATCTGCTAATGTAATAGAATTGTTTACAATGCAGAGAAAGTTTTCCCAATCCAGATTGTATCAAACGTGAGCCCATTTGGAGAGCATGACTCACGAGTTAGCACCTGCAGAAAAACGACGTGGCACTACATCTAACACCCAAGATGTTCTTGAATTATTCAAATCGATCGTCGATTCTGAGCTAATATGAGATGATACGACTCTAATATTGCCTTCACCTCGTCCCACTTATCCCCATCACCAGACACATTCTTGAGACTCGGAAAGATCTGATGTAGGCTTAACGCGACGTAAAGAGGATCCAATACATCGTAGTGCACACTGCAGATAAAATCACGCAAAGGATGCATGAACGGGGTGGGTGGAATAGGATCTGCTGCACCAGGAGAAACATCGATTTGGATCGGATACTGGAGATAGTCCAAGTTCGGACATTCTCGAGCAAAATGGGCTAGAGAACTGACGGGGGGTATTTCAGACCACGAGACAGCAGTAAAATGAAGTGTTTCAGCGTGAGGCCATGAGGAGGCAATAGTGGCCGTGATTTGGTCGGTAAGGAAAAGTGGCGAGGAATACCGAAGGCTCCGAATTTGGGTTAGCTTCAACAACGGGTTGAACAACGACCAGAGTCTTTCGCGATCAGGGTCCACTACAAAAAGCGATGTTGCGTTATCGATATCGAGATTCTGGAGGGAAGAGAAACGACCAAGGGATGTGGTCACATCAATAGCATCGATGATGGATGGATCACCATGCCATCTTAAGGACAATATCTGTAGAGACAAAGGCGTGACAATCTTCAAAAAGTTATGCAACTCTGAACTAGACCCGATGATTGAAAGTTGCTTCAGAGAAGGGAAACTAGTCTGGAGACCAACATAATCGAAGGAATCATCGCTGAGTAAGGTCAAATTGAGGTAGGTCAATTTCGTTAGAGATGCCAAGCTCTGAATATAGTCTTTCTCATACTGTGGTAAACGTCCCAGATGAAGAGCCTCCAACTCGCGGAAACCTCTTAGGGAAGCGGATATCCCGGAAAATTGGGTGGTTGTAATGAATAGAGATCGTAATCCTGGACTCTTTGAAGCAAGAAGAGCAAGTGAAGGCCCGAAATCGAGATGTTCAGATTGTGGGAAATAGGGCGAAGGAATCACTGCTCTGGATATAGAGCTCGTCAAAAAGAATACCAACGAGTACATGCATATTTGAGTTCCAGGTAGCAACTGTGCTAGGTTTGGAAAGATAGGTTTTGATTGGCCAAGGATTGCATAAACCGATTCATGCACATTGTCAGTGCCGTCGTCTTTGAATATACGGACTCTGGAAGCATAGTAGTGAAGCCTATCCCAAGAGGGAAGAGCAATCTGCTTCATGATCATCTATTTATGCGCAGGAATTCTCAGTGGATCGGGTGATCGCAAGATTGAGTGAGTACATACTTTTTTCCCATTCAAAGACACTGTCTCTGGCAGCACCGACAGCAGTGGTTCGACACTGTTTAACGTCCTCCAGAGAACACCCAATGCGGGTTCCAGAAATGTTTTGGAGCTAAGACCTAAAGATAAAAGGCCTTTCCGACAGTTTAGATCTTCGGTAGTCCGGAATGTACGATCGAGACATCGAGAAGTGCCAAATTCCAGCTCCTCGCATATTAGTGCAATTACGTCCACATTGAGCATACCGTGCGCGTCACTGGGTGGCCAACGATGTCGATGAAGACAACAAAGAAATCAGACTGGAGCAGATAAACGTGCAGCCGTTCCTGCCGAATTGTTTTTCGGATTCAAGAAAGGTACAAAATTGTTACAAAGTTATGTACATTGACGCAAATACATAATATCATGTGATTAAAGATATGCCTGATATAGTTTATCTCTGGTCACATGCTTCTGAATTCTTACCGCTGATCAGATCAACTGCTGATCAACTGTCGAGCCGAATTTTTTCTCATGTTGCTATCATACAGAGATTCTTGCAGCAGACTTATTTTGAGGACAGGAGCCTTCCAGGAACAGCCACGAACCAGGCTTAGACAAATGTTGCACTAATTCAACTCATTGACGGGATGCCGATCAAGACTCAACGCTGGTCAAAGCATCAACTTTGTGTCTTCAATGCCCTTGACATCGTTTAAGGATCTGATGACTACTATTTTTCTGGTTTGTACTATAAGCCCTTCCACTGATTCACCATAGGCTCGATCCAGTGCGTATATTCATTATCGTGGTTTCACTTGAGTTAACGTTGAAGGCATCTTATATCAGAGGATTGGAAGCATACTTTCATTAATGATTCGCAGTGTCATTCCGATTGTGGGGACGTAAAAATGATTTTGGAATCTATGTAGCTCCTCCTGGTACCTCCAAAACCATGCAGGTAAGAACCAGATGTTCGGATAGCTGACCTTCACCCTCCTGTATCATCGTCGTCGTTTTATACCAGAAGATCAAGTTGCGAATTTGTGGGTCCAGTTTGTCATTCACGCTGTCGTATCTTTATTTTTTCAACAAGATTCGAAGCTCAAGGCTGTGTAGCTGTCAATTGATACGTTGTATTGTGGCGTACTGATGAATAAACAGAGCGTTTTCAACTTTACTGGAACTTCCACTTCATGCAGCCACTAAGCGATCTTGGCGGGATCTTGGACACCGCGTCCAATTCCTCCGATGACAGAACACTCCTAACAAGGCTTAGGCGCCGCAGTTCCTCAAGCTTCTGTCTTTACTGTCAACTACGAGCCTCAGACCCTTTAGTGGTTGATAGTCTGTACCAGAAAGTTCGAATGCGTAATCTCGAAGGCCCCGAGCGGAGAAACTTATGGAACTGTAGCGGATCACCTGTACGGCCACTAGCGGTGTCGATGGTGAGTAGTAGCAACCTACCTCTTTCATGAATCATAGTTCATATTTTCATTGGTAGCGCGCTAATTGCAAGAGGCGGAAGGAATTAATGCAAAACCTGACCAGGCGCAGTTCTCCGCGAAATGTAGGATAAAATTCGACTCAGAAGAATGACTCTATGTATTAACTATTTCGAAGGGTGCAAATGACCCAGATAGCAGCACGTTTAAAAACCAAACGAAAATTAATGATGTCTATGGCGCATCACCTAGCGGCGGCACGCGGTGCAAGCCCCGTTCACAGCGCTAACAGGGACTTTTCGAGCCTCTTTCAACCTGAAGCAAACGTTATGCTAAGGTCAAGACATATATCAGACCGCTTACCACTGAGTGCAAGTGCTTGTGCAGTTGCTGCATGGGCCTTTCGCTTGATGAACCCTGCTGTTGATGCAGTTGCTTTTGTTACAGTCGACCTAGAAAGGATGAACTTTTCAGTCAAGCATGAGAGGAACGAAAACGATCAGCACCAACTTTGACGCCACCGTCAATAGGTATCAAATGTCCGCAAGCGAATTTGGTGCAGTTGACAGAGCGGTAGCACATTGTGTCAATCTAGTCTGAGCGAGGAGAAAATCAAGATGAGTAGCTACCAGTAAGTTGTCAAACGAGAACATACTTTTGCGTTTATAAGTATCTGAAGAAGTTGAAGAGGATGGAATGTCGATTACTTATGCTCAACCTCCTACTCATTTATACTCAGCACTACTTCAACCAGAGCGAAGTCGGAAGGACTTAGATATCCGAGTACACAATCCGTAAATGGAAAATATTAAATTTGGCTAGAGACATGGAATGCAAACAAAGACAGGGTATAACATATCATGTCAATTTGATGGCGTTCAGCATCGTTTCAAATCATTCGCTGCTAGTGGTATGACTCACAGAAATGCGATAGACGACATGCAGAAGTCCGGGAAGGGTCTCACTGCCAAATGTACCTTAAGCGGTCGGGATACTGATTCCAGCGACTCCGAAAACCGTACTATGACGAGTATCAAGTCGGGAAATGTAGAAAATCAGGAATCAAATCATTAAGGGCATAGACGGCGTCTGCATAGATGACATTTAACTTTGAGATTTTCGATCCAAAATGGTATAATCTGGCGTCTAAGCTCCCGCTCTGGAACGAGGTTCTCGCAGAGCTTGCTTAGGATATACACTATCTAGGAAGAAGCCAGAAACCTAGTAAACCTTATACACTGAGCATATGGTAGGTGTCGCATCCGGCCTAGTGCTACTTACCGGTGTCCTATTAACCTTACAAACCAATTTCCCCCTACTCCTTGTTCCAGAATGAATGATTCCACCACTCACCGGGAGCCTTGACAGCTTGTATATTGCGTCCGGCTTTATTGGGACTTTCAGAAAACTGCAAGTACCATAACTCGGAAACGCCTTCACGTCGGAGGTATTCCAGGAGACGGCGATAGTTCAATCCAACTGCATGAGGACCGTGACTGTCATCGGATAGCGCTAATCTTCCGCCATCTTGAAGGATGACCTAGATGCACTCATAATGAAGAATTGTTTAGCGAGATTAAAAGGAATGTTTCTACCTTCAACAAATCTTCCGCAGGATATGCAGTGTTCCAATTCTTTCTGAACGCGGCAGCATTTACTTCAAACAGAGCTCCATATTCGATGGCATAAGATATATTACGCTTCAATCGCTTCCATGAGCGAGAGTAGTCCGAAAGCCGTATCTCCGGATGATATAGTCGACATAGATCAAGGTGACCAATAAGCTCAGGATGAAATCTCTGCAATACGTGGAACTGTGCATCAAAGTAGCGGCATAGGAAGTTCTCCATCCGTTCGTTCTCCGATGTTCCTGGCTGTTGGGCTAGGGATTTTCTGAACGTATCTACATCAAAATCGATGGGTATTTCTCCAACGTGATGGATGGAGCCAACGATGTATTCAATCCTACCGCGATTGCGTTCTAGCAAGGCATCCAATTGGTCCAAGTCGATAGAAGTAATGTAGTCTGTTTCTAATCCGACGAGCAAGGTGATTTGAGACGCATATCGCGCTTTGAGGCGATGGGCTTCATACACGAACGCGTCAAACTGATCATGCAGAGCTTGCAGATCCATTCCTGCCTTGCATTGCCACATATGAGTTTTTGGAAAATCCATTAGCAAACAAGTTACCTCTTCGGGGTATAAGTCCTCAATCCGATATCTAGGAACGTGCTCAGTAAGCCCATACACTTCGAAGCCACTCCGTATGGCTTCAAGAACAACGTCTTCGAGACTTCCCGCAGCATGACGACAAAATTGACCAGAGTGTGAATGATGACTATAAGGCATAAATGAAAGATAATGCCAAAACCAAGTCTGGTCTTAAGCGCTGCTGAGCACAGCATTTTGCGATCAACATGATCTGAGCTATGTCAAATTTCGGGGGCTACTGAGAGCTACTCTGGATTACGGGGCCGCTTTGGACTACCGGACTCAACATTGAACACAACAAATGATTATGAACTAGCAAGGCAAGTGACTCAATCATCCAGAAGGAACCGCCACTAATTTTCGGACGCTTTCTATCTTATAATTCGTTTTTTGAAAGACGCTTGACGTCGCCTGTGCTGTACTGAAGGTAAAGTGTAATGTCAGTACCAATGGACAGGTGACTCATTTGATTAAAATTTGGTGCAGGGAGGCGCTGGAACGAGTACTTGCGATGCTTTTCTCAAATTCAATGGGTAAACCTTGAACATTCAAACCAGACTTGAACGAAACTAACCGTCACGGATTTGCAAAAGCCGCGATCACTTAGTTTTTCACCTCATGCTGCGTATAACTAACTGTATGGTAGTTATTTGACTTGTACACCGAGTGGTATTTGACACGAAAGTTCTTTGAAGGATAACTAAGAGACTGCTTGAATAAAGTTCTGTGTATAACTTATGGATATTACCCTGCGAGCCAAGAAAAGAGTGTTAATGTATGTAACCGGATGGTCCTTGACAAGAGTATTACACATGAGATATTAGGTCCGTGATATGCAAAGCAAGTTCGAGGGAAGTAAAGGAAGGCGCAAATGATAGCAAATCCAAGTCCTGTAGTAGGAGGCGAGTCAACGAAAACGAATGAAAGGGTCTATATTCTATTCTGCAAGGATAGTGTCAATGGACTTGTTGAGGAAGTCTTTGCGCGACAGTAGGTCCGCTCTCGGGAATTTAGCATTCATGGCTTCTCGAGCGGTTCTACAACACATGAGTAAAAATCATCATCGGCATAATAACACGTACTTCTTGGTAACAGTCATTAGGTCTTGAGTACCGAGATAGCTGCGCAATGCGGCGAAAAGTTCGTCATCACTAGGATTGGGGTTCTGGCTGGGACCGGCAAATGGGTTGACAGTGGTCGCCATCGAAAATGTGGACAATGGTCGCTGCTCTTGACTGGCAGGCATGGTAGGTGGGGCGAATGCACCAGACTGAGAGCCACCAAAGCTACCACCAGTCATCATACCAGCCATCATAGTGGTTCGGGGATCCATAGCGGCAGGAGACATCATATTCATCCCCATCCCCATCGGCATCCCATACATACTGCCAGTGTTCTGATAGCTCATTGGCATAACTGGTCCCATAGGCATCCGTCCGCCATAATCAGAGCCGGCGGCAGAGCCTGGCCCACCACCAAAAGGCATGTAAGGGAGTTGAGGTGCAGCGTATTGCTGACCACCATGATGTGAAAGGTTGCTTAAAGATTGCTGGCTCCCCGTGAATGGATTGGGATTCGAACGACTATTCATCGTTAAGTTCGTGTCACGATAGTAATCACCAGCTTGTGAGCCTTGTTGATAGTTGTAGGGAGAACCAGTCCGAGATGCGGTTGGACGCGGATGTGTGTGCGGCTTACTATATCCAGTTTCATCTGAATGACGCGAACCAGTTTCCCATGCTTCAGCTTCGTATTCTACAATAAGCAGTTAGTCACCATGCGGATGAATATGGAATGGAAACACGCACCACTAAACTTCTTCAGTGGAATCATCGACTCGTCAAATTTATCATCGTCATTTACAATGACCTTCTTGTCTTTTCCTTCACCGATAACCAAACGAGTGTTACCCCAACCGAATTCGTCCATGCACCAGAAGGAATAAACCGGAAGGAATAAGCTGTAGATTGGATACCTGCGAAAATAGTGAGAAAAGCCCTGCTTCGGTATCGAGGACTTACGAAAGAAGGTAAACGACCATCCACCCGATCAGCATGAATTCACGCTTCAAGATGAAGATCAAAATCTGTGTCAAGATGTTAACGAGTGGCGCAACGCAGCAATGGATTAACCTCACTTGAAGACCATACCCAGCTGCAATCATGATGATGGCAATCAACGGGAAGGGGGATTTTCCAAGAGAAACTACGATAACAAGGTATACCAGCTGACATTTCAGGTTAGGACAGGAATAAGAAGTAAGAAGTGAGTGCACACACATAGACGACGGTGGAAGGCAGGATCTACGATGGAAAGTCAACAAACGAATATATAGAATGAAAGAACGGACAGTCATTCACCATGGTACTCAAAAGATCAACAAAAACGAATATACGCATAGAAAAACAGCAGAATCCGATGAGCTCAGGGAGCATCACCAATTCACACAGGTTATGGACCGTGGAGTTGATCCAACGACGACGTTGAGAGAATAGCACACGAGTAGACTCCGGAGCGACCGTATGGGCTACAGCATCAGGGTTGAATTTGGTCTTGAACGTAGGAAAGTGTTTCATCAACAGTGTCGTCAAATAACGATCTTCTCCCAAAGAGAAAAGATTCTTCTTGTGAAGGGTATCAACGTTGGGTTCGGCGTACTCGTCAATGACACGGTTCGATATGATGATAGGCCGACCCTTGTCTGCTGTACGAATACGGTAAAGACTGAAGCAACCGGGAAGACAGGTGACGGAGCCGAAGAGACTTTCGAAGGCCTTGGTCAAGTGGTGGGATATGTAATACTCGTAAACCTGGATCATTGTCCACCAGGAAGTATCCTCGTTCGCTACCTTGGTTTCGCCACATATTCCAATGATATTCGAGTCGATAGCGGCCGAAGCTACAAGCCTGTTGAGAGATTCTGGTGTCACAGTCTGCAAACAGGAACTGAGTTTCACTAACTCCATATGGTTCAAACAAACCAACTCACTGTGTCGGCGTCGATGGTGAATATATACTCGTAGAAGGCAGGATCGATCCCAATAACATTCCTCATCTGATGATACAGCTCCAGCTCTAGCGGACTCATAGGCGCGTCAAAGTGAACACGGTTTAAATAATGCATAAGCAAAATTTGACTGTCACGCTTGCCACGATTGCCAGGTTTTGAACGCTCCGTGGGTTTACCAACTTTCACAACAACCATGTACCTTGAGAAAAAGAGTCAGGAAATTTTCCTGAAGCTATCATAAGGACATACGGCACGACGTGTCCTTCGAACTCATATAACCCGGAGTACACTTTGCCATAATTTAGCGCACGTGAGCCTTCTCCGACCGACTTGAACATCAATGGTTCAGGGTCAAGCTTAGGATCCACACCGAGAATATCCTGGACGATGCGGGGCGTGGTACGGTCGTTCCCGCTTCCGGTAATGTTTCCATCGCAGATGATGAAGATAAGTTTGCGCTTGTCGTCGTAGTTGAGAGCAGCAAGGGAGTCAATAGTGCGGCGAAGAGAGTCTTCCCCTTCTGTGTAACAAGGAACTTGGCAGAGCACAAATTTGTCTTGCAACTCCGGGGTACGTTTAGGAGCAAGCTGCAGAGCAGAAAGAACTGTAGAGGCTGATGAAAAACAACACACAAAATAAGTAGAGATACAAACATTTCAAAACCATTGTAGACATCAGAATAGCAGCTACCACGATCAGCGTAATGTTTGGCGCTTGGCACCTGGCGGTAGTGCGGAAGTCAGTCTGGCCAATGTAGAAGACATTGTTGAGACAGTCCAGATTCTGTTGACGATAGGTCTCGTTAAGCTTCCCGAGCGCGGTATTCAACGAATCGGTGATGTCTTGGCCAGAACGATCCTTGAAAACGGTCTCGATACCAGAGTCGAGGAAAAGATATGCGTCATTGTTGTCATTTTGGTCTTGAGTGTAGAAGTAGTCAGTCAGATCATAGAGATTGTTGTTATAGACACCCCAGATCCTGAACAAATATTGTCAATTTTTGGTAATGTAGATATCCATTTACTTACTTTTCAATGTCTTCATCTGATGCATAGGACTGTATCTCATCCCAACTGTGAACTAGCGTTCCAATGTGATACTGATTGATGACGGGTTGGAACGTCGCAGTATACCAATCCGAATTATGAAGCTGGCTCGTCGTAGATTGAGCAAACTCTCCTGACGAATGATCCGCAGTCGGTTCAGTTTCAGTGAAGTTCTTGAACGACAGCTTCATCGTTGAGGTCGGACCAAGATTACCGCAGCCGAGGACAAGAGGAACTGGGAAGTAATATGTCAAATCCAGTCCAGCAAGCGCTTCCAAGACATCATCGGAGTTGGAGTCCTCTCCGTCGATATCACTGTGTTGGCCTTGAACGAAGTTTGAGACATCGTAGACTTTTCCTTGAATAGCGACATAGTAGTCATTATCTGCAGTATGTTCTGCGACCTCGTTCGTCAACCATGCATTATCATAGTCGGGGCAAAGTAACCGGCCAAAAATGACAATGTAGAAAATGACGATGCCGTTGAGAAGCAAAATGAGGAAACAAATGGTGACCTTTTCTCTCCATGCAAGCCGAACATCAGGTCGTTTCATCCGCCCAACATGCGTCAGCAAAAACGAGGGAATGAACCAAGTACAAGCCCAGACAGTTCCAAGCCAGAATCTCCGGCTCCTTGTTGAAGGAACTTCTTCGACAGAGTCTGGAGCGTCTTTGACGACAAGACCATCACCTTCCTTGACAGATGACCCAGCAGGGACTGTACCTGTCCCCGTAACTGACGACTCATCCTTCTTATCCCATTCGGATCCCCAGCCGCCATCATCCGCCTGGCCTCTGAACGCGTTCGGCGTCGACATTTGAGCTGGGGAATTCGGGGCCGGTAGAGCATTGTATGCTGGACCTTGATTAGGGGAACGATGTTGAGTTCCGTTTGTTCCTGTCCTCCTCAATACCAAGTCATCATTACTCGCTCCGAGTCCACCACCGTCCATTTGGGATCCAACACCCCCATAACCATAACCTCCTCCTTCATGCGTGTATTCTGTGCCATCGTCCGGTGCGACACTGGCGTCCTCGTCATCGTCCATTTCCATGCCTGCGTCCCCTAAAGCCCTCTTGGCGTCTTTTTCTACAGCCCGAACAGTATCTTCTACCATTTTCCAAGCGGAATACGAAAGCCATATCGAGCGGTGGCCAACAACATAATCTACACCCTCAATCCACCCATTCGCTCGAGCACATTGTGTGATTCGCTCACTCTCAGACCCACGCATAGTCGGGACATAACGGTCACAGAATTGAGCCAGGTCAAAGTCGGCGATGCATTCGACACTGCGACGGGAGGCCAAATCAGATAGGAGGAGACTACGAATTTGAGCTTTGACTCGGCGTTTGTCAAAAGAATTTGGTGAGCCGGAGTCGTTCGGACGAATGCAAGACAATGCCCAGAGACGGGCTTTGGAGATGTTGGCAAAGAGCTCGGAAAGAGTGAAGTTGATTTGAGTGGTAACAGGGTAAGATTTACCTCTGTCGAGCTCGAGGTGTTCTTGTGCATCTTCTGAAGTACGTTCGCCTTCTCCTGTGAAATTGGAGGAAACGAATGGTGTGAGGGTACGCAGTGGTCTGGAGGAGACTTGTGCTTGGACAACGATTGACTCGTCCTTGTAGTGCTTCTCCACTGCCAAACTTGGGCCAGAGAATAATTTGGCGACAAAGCTTTCACTGGAATTCCTCAACAGTGGGACGAAAGCCGGATCAAGCAAGTCTGTGTCCTTTTCTACAAAGTCTGAAACGTCATACATGCACACACCAGCATAGTGGTTGACACCAAACTGCATACGGTTTGCGTTACCAGAAGTAGCGACGAAGGATGCATGCACGCCGAATTTAGCTTGCATTTCCTGCAACAAATCTTCATTACGATGATCACTGTTACCCTTACCCTGCTTGTGAGCAGACGAAGCCTTGTTCATCAGCGACAAGAGCCCTCCAGGCTTCCGCTGCGCCTTATCCGGCAACTGCCCTCGAAGCATCTCCACACACGCCGTATTATCCATTGTTGATATCGCTGGGATCGACACGCCGTCGCTGACAATATGATTACTATACCCAATGGTGTCCTCAAACGTTTGGCGCGTGAAGTACGACTGGAGCATCTCATCGGCAAAATTGATGCAAAACTCGTCAAAGCCGTTTTGGCCGTAAGCGGATATGAGAGGAGCATTACCCGAAAGAGCGACGGAACTTGTTCCGGTTGGACCGCGAGACTGATACCCGGGTTGGTCGAGCAAAACAATCTGGCTGTGCGGAGGGGGTGATTTGGATGACGGAGCAACCTTGTGGTTCGCTGTTTCGACAACAAATGCGAACATGATGGCATAGAGATCCCGGACAAGCTGGTCTCGTTGAAGAGCACTCTGCTGCGCGTTCAGCAAAGCGGTATAAAGTTCCTTGCGCACATAGCTCGTCTTGTTCGTCAGAGCCTGCGAGAGGTCTTCGGAGGAGACTCCGAGCAAACGAGATACGTGGTCGAGCACCTCGACATTGGTAACGTGAGCGGAAACGGTGTGAAAATCACCTTCACCAAATTCGAGGTTGCCGAGAAGAAGAATGGCTATAAGGAGGCTAAAAATGGCTGCGGTAGCTTTTGGTTTGAATCCAAGCGTTCGCATAGCAGCTCGCAGGTCACCCATGGCAATCGAGTCATCGCTGGACGGACCCGCGGGAAGCCTGTAGGTACCCGAAGAAGCTAACAGGGCATAGTCCGAGGGATCCTCAATATTGAGTGCATCTCGTTCAGCGGACGTACATCCAGCAATGAATTGATAGAAGACGTGAAAAGACCGTTCTTCCTGAGTAAGGCGATTGAGTCTAGACTTGTCGAGTCCGAAAGTGAGGACTTTGGCACCAGCAATTCTTCCTCGCTCGTTGAAATGCAGCTCAGTATATCGACTGTGTCGTGAAGCATTTGGGTTCATGAGCGTTTTCGAGTTACCAAATGATTCGAGAACGATTCCAAGTGCTTTGACTTGCTCTGCGATTTTGGCTTCTTTGCTCGAATGACTGGACAGCCTGAGGATCTGGTTGGTAAAAAGACGAAGATTTGAAGTCTTTCCAGAGCCTGTGATACCCCTGCAAAGAAAAACTCAGCATAAAAGAAATGAGGCCGTGGGTTGATCATGCTCACCTCGCGAGCAATGCCTGCGACTCATTCCTTCTCCTCATCACTAGATACATCCTCGCAGCAAGGTCGTAAATATGTGGCTGTAGAAGCTTTGGTGAGTCAACCATTGGTAAACTAGTGTCTTTATACGATCGTTCCTCGTATTCCTTTGCACTGGCATTATTAACACTCGCTAGAGTTTTATATGGATTAATTGCGACAAAATTGGTGGCTCCGGCGCGAGTATACGGTAAATCAGCTCTAAACCTGGCTTGTAAAACAGCCAGAATAGCGTCGTCGGTTGGATAGATGGTCGCTGAGCCGGAAGACGAAACAAGGTCAATGAGGTCGCCAGAGGCTACGGCCTGCACATTGTGATTTGAGGCCATGACCGTAAGGAGAGATGGTAGGGAACAAACAGCAAATGCTGCCTTGGTGTTGTGTAGCAGCGAGTGGAGAGGAAGAAGAAATAATCGTTACACACGCAGACAGCCTACGGCCAATTCATTCCCACGTGGCGTCACTGCAACGGTATTATTAGTATTACCGTGTTCACTGCCAGTTATTTCGAATCCGGGCTACTCATATATGTACATACCGGACTATCTCCTAGTCGACCTGCTTTTTTTCGCACTAAGTCATGGCCATTGGACTTGAGCAAGTATCAAAATGTACGGACGTGAGTATAGTATATTAGAGTCTATTTATTCTGCAGTTCTGATGGCCTCTTTCCGTTTCGTTGATCCAGCAGCTATCTTTGGTATCGTTCAGGTATCGTTTCTTGGAAGAGATGTAGCAGCAGGAAAGGGAGTAGGTGAATTATCAAGCCGTATCAAGCCGCAACGTATCCGAAAAAGGTGAGGCCGAGTCGTCTCGGAAAATGTCGACTTGTTGACACCGGACCACTGGCAACGCGCACGCCGACAATGTCTTTTCAATTCGGAATCGTTTCTGAACGGATCAACGGCATTATTATGCTCGGCAAAATCTTCGGCATATGACAGAATAACTCTGCCAGTGCTATCCGGTCGTACAGACCCACATCCATGCATTTTTGGCAGTTACCGTAAGGTGGGAAGAAAAGCTCACCAACTGTTTTGGGAACAGGAAAAGTCACTAGAATGGGTCTAATCATGAGGTATGTCAGAGGTATGTTCTAACTCTTCTTTCCGCTTACTCTGCATTCTGGCGATCTTTCTCTCTTGATCTAGTGGCTAATCACTGGCAACATTTCAGTGTCTACGTCGCTTCGAAAAAAAAACATCTCTCTCTCTGCGTCTGTTTTCGTTGGTGGTGTTGAAGAACGTGCCACACTGCTCGTTCAATCATCCTATCTATGTGGTACATCGCTGCATCATCAAAGTTTTACCCTCGCTATTCATATACTTCGTTTATATCAGTGCCTCGAAACGATGCGGCTATTCCAGGACGTACCACAGGCCAGCCTTGAGCAAATCCTCGTATCTTATGCTATACTATCCTCCAACTTCCAAGCCCTCTCGGATGATCAATGCGGGTAACTATACCGACGTTTATCACTGATGACGCGAGTTGGTCGCCCAAAATGGCTACAAAACTTCTGGGAATGCTTCACACAAAGTCAGGAGGTCATGTAAGTTCTTCTAGGCTGTATTCAATTGTGGTACAGATAAATACTCATCGTTTCGCATTTCTTCTCCCACCCTTTCTTCTTTATGACTTCAGCCTTATCCGACGAGGTAGCTTCAGCGTGGTTCGCCCGTTTCTCAGAGCATCTCCAACGTGGAGACGTTGCAAGCACAACTTCTCTCTTCCTTCCAAATGGATGGCTTCGGGACTTTTTGGCTTTCGATTGGGACCTGCGTACCCTTCATGGCCATGAGAAAATTTCTTCGTACTTATCGGAACATCTCCCGAATTCGAATTTTCTAGAATTTGAGCTCGCTTCGGACCAATACTTCAAACCCTCTCCTGGACCTATGCCCGGCACTGTAACTGCTGGTTTCTCCTTCTCGACACCAATTGCAAACGGGCGAGGGTATTTCAACCTGTCTAGTACGACCGAAATGGAGGATATAGCAGGATGGAAGGCCTCTACAGTCTTCATCACTATTGATAGCCTCAAAAACCACGAGGAGAAAGGTGCGGCAGGCGATATTTATGGTGGTCGATGTCCTACATGGGGCGAGGCACGAGACATCGAATGGCGTAAAGCAGAGGAAGAACCTGAGGTTTTGATCAGTATGTGCTCCACCTTTTTCTTTTCTGGGTTGATTACAAGCCAATTTCCGTTCAGTTGGCGCCGGACAAAATGGACTGCAAGTGGCTGCGAGACTTCAGCAAATGGAAATCTCAAGTCTTGTCGTAGACAAGAACGACCGCGTCGGAGATACTTGGCGCCGTCGATACCCAACTTTAGCGCTTCATACTCCCAAAACTCATCACAGTTGTGAGTCAGCTATTCACCGTTCTTGTAATCCGAATGATCATTCTCTTCAATTCTAGTACTATATCAATCATTTCCTTCGAATTGGCCTTTCTGGACGCCTCGAGATAAACTCGCAGAGTGGCTAGAACAGTACGTCGTTTCGCAAGATCTCCTGGTATGGACGAAATCCCGTGTTATTCCTGCACCGACGTACGACAGAGATTCGAAGAGGTGGACTGTCACCGTCAATAAGGCAGGTAAAATATGTACTCTACATCCCAAGCATGTTGTAGTTGCAACTGGGATGCTCGGGGAGCCTTATATGCCTACCATCGAAGATCAGGAAACATTCGAAGGCCAGATCATGCATTCAGAAGGGTTCTCAGGAGGCGCAGACTTCATCGGAAAGCGAGTTGTCGTCATAGGCACTGGGAATAGCGGTGCAGATATAGCTCTAGACCTATCCACACACAAAGCGCGATCAGTGACGATGATACAACGCTCGACTACTGTTGTTCAGCCTGCGAGTACGATAGCAGAACAACATCTCCAGGTGTATCCACCCGATGTTCCGGTTGAAGTTTCAGACTTTCGTGCGTTTGCTACGCCCACCTTCCGTCTCTTCGAGATTCTAGCAGAGACCAGGGGCCTGATGTGGGATCAAGAGAAGGATCTCATTGAAGGGTTGAGAAAAGCTGGGATGAACGTCGATATGGGTCCGTATGGTGCTGGCATTCTTCCTTTGGTATATCTACGATTTGGTGGTGCGTGCTCATCCGTTCCGTGGCCCCAACACCTTACCAATGTAGCCTCATGCATTCTTTAGGTTTTTGTAGGATCATTCATTTCCAGTTTACCTTCGCAAGATTTACTCATAGATCACATGTTAGGGATGGATGTAGGCTGCGGAGATAAAATCATTCACGGAGAGATCAAGGTCAAATCTGGAGTCGAGATTACAAAATTCACCAAGCAGTCAATCGTTTTATCTGACGGTTCAGCAATCGAAGCCGATGTTGTAATTTTTGCGTAAGTGCCGACGTTTTGCATGTTCTGTGATATTGATCAGGTCCCGGGTAGCACTGGCTATCGGCACATGGCCCAGATGCTCAAGAACTTATTAAGTGACGAGATTATCGATGAGACGTATTCTCTCCCGAACGGCCTTGACGAGGAAGGTGAATACGAAGTGGGATATAGACCTACCGGGCATCCTGGTGTATGTTTATTAACCCCGTCTGCTCAGTTCTTTGTTCATTCATTCGATGCAGTTATGGTATGCTCCAGGTTCATTCAACAATTCTCGTCTACAATCAAAGTATCTGGTAGGTGGACACATTCTCGTCGTTGGCTTGAGGTCCACTCATATCGGGTCGGCTGTCATTCTGTAGGGAATCCAATTCCAAGCACTCAACATTGGTTATATGAAGCTGTGATTGCGTGTCTTAGGTGCTGTCTTCTGATATGCCTTTAACGCTGTTGCATCTATTAAAAGCTCTACCTCATGTGCTGTCTACTTGAAGTTGAAATCATACTCAAAAACTTTGTGTGCATTGTCATCGGATGTCTGAGATAATGTAAGAGGGAAATGCCGTTGTACGAATCTGCGAGTTCCTTTGAACGTACCGGGAACATACTTACCTCGCTTCTCGGGGCGTGCTGATTATTTTGTCTCAAGGAGTGATCCGATTTAGTTCATTTACCTTGTCAAAACAAAAATCACCTTTCTACCGCTGTATGTCGACCTACGTCGACTATGAATCTTTCTTCGGCAGGCAGGCCATGGAGCCATTTCAATTACGCATCGAGGCAGAAAACTCGAGGCATCTCCCTGACTAGGTAAGTTGTTGTCAAACTATCTTTAAGGAACTACATAAATAGCGCAATAATCAGAAGACATACGGAATAACAGCCCTTCTTTCTTTAGGAAACGCATCGCCGAATTTCTCCTTGTACCACTGATGACCTTTGTATGCCCTCGGAAGCATCAAACAAAGTTCGACTATTAGAAAGATCCACGGAGGAGTCAAAGTTGGTGCAAATTGTGACGGCGGAGTGGTGAATGCCATAGTATATATACCATTCACGCTCAAGAGCCATTCCAAGTCAGTAAGCTTAGGGATCGGTGATGCGGCCAACGCCCATCCAAGCATTTCCACCCACTCGCACAAATAATTTGGAAACGATATCCACCTATACAGGAATCCATGCGGAATACCGTAGTACTCCGCTCCACTGGAGAGCTTCTTTTCCTTTCCCCTCAAAGCCCCCTTCTTTCGAATGTCGGAGAGTATTTCATCTGCCCAGAAGTTGCCAAGAAATCCAACTGCCCAGAGGAATACGCCGATGTAAAATTGAGGGGATGAAAAGGCAGTTTCCGGCTGAAGGTGTTGGAACGCTATGGGTGAAGAGATGTACGACCCTATTAATCCTCCATTGGTCGTATTCAATATTAACCCAGTAAGTGGCATGAAGACGTGCATTCGAGAACGAGATGGGGCGCGCGCCGGAGAAAGGAAACCGCGATTGAGATAATGGACCATGAAGCAGCTGACAAGAACAATCTGGGGCATCGAGAATCGGGGAGATTCCTCTGATAGCGGCGAATTGAACATTGCATAAATGAATCCTAGGGGAGACCAGAGCTCCATGAGGACCCATCCCAGCCTTCCTGTGGCACAACGAAGAGTTAAGCTAACTTGGGCACCAACTATGAATACGGAAAACATGACATACCATCAATAGTCAGAAATGGACTTCGAGGAGTGAAACGACCGAACGGCGCGTTCACTATAAATGATCCTGGGAGCGACGCTACACCAACGATGGTAAAAAATTTCCTTCCAACTGAAGTCGAATCAGTATCGAAAAGCATATCACTTTACGCCAGTAAGTGCCTTACCGTCATAGATACTCTTCCTTTGCCTCAATGCAAGTTTAGGCACAAACATTGTGAGGCAAAAATGGGAAATGTGAAGGAAGAGGAAATGTCATCCGTGAGAGTGCTTGTAAGTATCTTCGTCGTCCGAGCTCAGCGCTGAATATGTCATTTAAATATATTGCTGGATTTTTCATTCATTGATGGCAATTGACGAAAACCGCTGATTCGAACTGGATTCAGTGCTCTTCGGATAATCAGTCATGCACCTGATAAGAACTTCTGTCCATCAACCGCGGCGAAGATTAAGAGCTGTTGTTTTTGTATGTTGATGTTGTATGAGCTGTCGTAAAACGTTCCGAAGCCGCTTACCACAAGGTCAGAACGCGACCAATTTTCACTGAACTTCCATTCTATTTTCATTGTGCATCTGAACTTTAACACATTGCCTAGGTCTACAACCTTTTCTTTCCCAGCATCGGATTTTATGATTCCCCAATCTAATTGGGTCAGACTTCGTATTCATCAGCATAGAAGATAACCCCATTCATGCGAAGAAATCGGGATGTTCAGAATGCTCCGAATGGTATTTAGTCTGAATGGGCTGGTTCCACACTCATTCGTTCTCACCTTCCACAAGTAACTGTCGTCGTTCAAACTCAGCCTGGAAGGAATATGTCTGAAAACCTGATGTCTCTGTATGTCCATTTACCATCGGTCTTGGAATTACTATTAAACATTATTAGAACGGGCCCACTGGTAGGTATATTCAATGTAAGATGAATTACAATGAAGCCTGAGCTTTGACGAAGCTCGTGGGTATTATTCTTGAATGGGGACTCTTGGGAATCCTCGGTCTTCAGGTGTACACCTTCTACACAAACTCAGCAAAAGAAAAATTAGGTATCAGGATCCTTGGTACGCATACGGGTTTTGCTCAGATTTGTAAAGACTTATCAAAGATTAGTTTATACCCTTTTCACCTTATCAGTAACTCATTCAATTATTGCCTTCACTTGGGCCTGGCGTTTCCTTGTCAGCGGATGGGGAAATCCCGAGATTTTTGTGATAGTACCATGGCAAGCAAGCGCACATACTGTTTTGAGTGGGACAAGTAGGTCTCACCGAATCAACTTGCATTAGTATCATTGATGTTGTTACTAGTGACGATGTTAGAGCAGCTGTTTTTCTGCTGGTATGCTCTGAAGTTTGTGAATTGAGATCTGGATATATAACATCCCATAGGCGGCTATGGGCATTCAATAGCAAAAAAATACTCATCCGATGCGTAGTTACTCTTGTTGTTTTGGTGAGTGCAAATAATTGTTAAAGTACGTGGTTGTATGTGGTTGTAATTGCAAATTGGTTAGATTTCCCTGATGCAGGTATCTGCATCGATTTATGGGGGGGTAAAGGTATGTCTCTTCTCCATCACGATTTCCTTGTACTTTTTGAGATTTATTTCTATTGAATTTCATCCTTAAAGGCTGCTCAGTCTGCAACAACTGCAGACATAGAGGGTCTGAATAAAATCGCCAGGGTGAGAAATTCTACCTTACAAAACACTTCGGGCTCATGTTAATAATCCTCTGCTGCTGTCAGGTCTGGCTATCGGGAGGGTTCACTGGTGATATCATTGTTGCAACCAGCATGATCATTGTGGTGAGTCTAGTAGAAATAAGGATTTGGCCGTTCTTTGTTTTTTTACCTCTATATTACAATTTCTAGCTGCGCTTTGCTACAAGTGATGCATATTCAAAGAGGACTCAGATTGTGCTTCAAAAACTCATAGTGCGCGCAATTGAAACAGGCAGTGTGACAGCCATTGCTGCACTGGTGGTATTAGTCCTCTTTGAATTATTTGAGACAAATTACATTTATATTGCTGCGTGAGTAAACAATATACATGCCACTTTCATTTGATGTTGCTTATATGATATTTAGGGCTTTTCTCTTATGCAACCTCTACTCAAATGTGGTCCTTGCATCCATTAATGGACGGAAAAGCATAGCTTCGATTCTTACGCAAGGAAGCACTACGTTGGGTTACACCTCAGGCCGGAATGATTTTGCTCCCAGCCATGAACTAGCTTTCCATAGACAGATGCAAAGCAACTTGGACCATGATGAGGGTCTTGAAATTTCAAGTATCAAAACCACTAGTGATTCTGGGCAACTTGATTCACCTATCACTACAAAAACCGCTTGGAGCAGAGTTGACGTTAACAGGGCCCATGTTAATGCAGCTCAGACTGTTTGAATACACGGACTGTCAAATGTTTCACAAGTAACTGGTTATTAGGTACATTTGCTACTAAGCAGACTTCTCTTTTAGTGTTTTTTTATATCACAAAATTTTCATTGTATACATAGAAGCGAAGCGTAGTTAGCTACTACTTATTGTACTGATATGATTGTCAATCCTGTATAGTAATTTTCATTGTTCAAGGGGAAACAAAATGCAAATGGACAGAACTTCGAACACTAGCATACGAGAGATTCTTGAATCATGGAAAACACTGAAGTCGACCATTGAAGATCTTTACAAATATAATCAACTTAAACAGGCTGCAGTTAGAGGCTATGTTGGACAACCCTGTTCAAGTGGGTATCTTTGCTTGTTTTATGGTATTGTGTGTCATTTCAACTCATTTGACTGACATCTGTAAAACCTGTATTTTCGGCTAAGAGCTCGAAAGCAGCTGACAGCACTGTCCAGCTGGGAAAGCACTCCCAGCAGTACTGAAAAACTGCTGGGAGTGCTTTCAGCGCTGGACAGCGCTCTCCAGCTAGTACCCTTGCTCTCGTGAACATCCAGGTTTTGCAGATTCGGAGGAAGTATTTTGTAACCTTCAATGGAACTCAACTCAATGCGTTCGCTGCCAAAGTTCACAAAAAATGGGAGTACATTCCTATTTTTCTGACATTCAAGTTTCCAGCATTCAAGTCGTGTGCGAGAAGGTTGTAAAAAAATAAGTTTAACTCTGATATACTTCGCTCCTTCCTTATGACGCTCTGTTGCCTTTAGTAGCCAATTTTGAACCATATTTTTTAGATTCGCGGTCCATCAGGATAATGTATGAGCCATAAGTACGATATAGCTCGGTTCAACCATTTCTAGCAAAAGTCTTAGGGGCGATGGTGCGAGACTCAGCCTGCATCGAGATATTATGCAAACCGAGGAGAATTTTCGTCGTACTCGTACTATACCACATTTGGATCGAGGTGTCAGACACGAGACGTCACATAGACCACGCGTTAATCCAACTAGTCGCGCCTCGTACACCTGCCATGAGGCCTCATTAGCTTCGACTTCCTCATTGACCATTACCTATCCTTCCCCCAAGTTCAGTACTTTCCATCGACGAACACTATGTCCAATCATCTTCAAGCCCTCCCCGGCTTTTATAAATTACTTTTCTTCTACCTTGAACCAGGTAAGCTCTTAGACTCACTTGTATCTACTCGTGCTCGCCAATGCCCGTGGTTCACCTACTCTGTCAGCGTCTGCTATCATTCCAGCTCCAATGATTTGGCTGTGGCCTGGCGCGGCTTGGTTTCATCATGAACAGATTCCTCATTCCAACCCTTCTTTCCTGGCTTCAGAATCTCTGGATCCTCGAACCGCTGTTGCATTGTGGCAGCTTGGTAATTGTGGGTGCATGCTTTCCTCTGCCTGTTACAAACGCACTGACGTTTATATATTTTTAAGGCTATATGCTTGTAGGACTAATAGTATCTCTCGTCTTTCGAGTAGCGGAAGACGCATTTCGTGATAATCCTGTTGCACAAGAGCGAATTATTGGTGCAACTCTTACCGCAATGGCAATTACTGACGTGGGTTTTCTCATATATGTCTTCGCAAAAGTTGAATGTTATGAACCGAACTGTCTCATATGCAGGTTACACAGTGAGGATTTCATACAATGAGCATTGTCGGAATCTGAGCTTGTACTGCACAAAATTTATAGCGTTTTGTCGAGCCTCATCGGACTGCCTACTGATATTCGATACGATATCTTTTCATGGAATGGTATAACGCACGGCAACATCACATTCACAACGTTTGTTTTCTGCGTCAGGTATGTGAACTACCGTGATGTGAACAGGTGGTTACGGGCTGATTCACCATATGATTTCAGGTTGGCGTGGTTCATGGGTGTAGGAAGGCGTCGTTTTTATTACGGCCAAAGGCGGCCTGTACATGGAATTAAATCCCGATGACTTTGGGGAGAGGTGCATCATTCGATTATTTAACCAATTCTACTTATTAATAAGAAATGAACTTAAAGGTTTCAAGGTTTATGTAAATGTTATTGTGAGTCGCGGAATCGAGTGAGGATCTTCACGAACTCTAAGGATCGTGGTTCACATGCATAGGAGATTTGGTACAACATAGTTCATGTACACCAACCAAAGAACAATTTATATACAATTCATATACCTATGATCTCGATTTTTACTCCTACCGAATGAAGATATTTCAATCGAGGAGAGTCCAGTATTTTCCTCGCTTGAGCATCAGGTGTCGTTATGCATATTTCCAGCTGCCTAAGGCCTGTAGTATGCTGAGCACAAAACAAGCGAGAGATAACACAAGCATGCAGGTTCTCCACTACTACATCAACAAAGGGCAAGACACCCAATTGGAAATGTAGTCGGCGAAGATTCGGTAATGGGGGTAATTGTGATGGGTTATTCAATTTTGTTGGTGTGGTGATTGTGCTCAAATGAGCCAGTACTTCGGTGATGGACTTGTACAAGTAGGCGCCTCTGATTTCGACTTCTTCGAGCTCAAGACAGTTTGAAAGACCTTTTACGAAAGCATCTGCATCCTCTGCGGCAATGAGATGCTGTAATTCAAAGTTGGATCGCTCTTTGAGCCTTTGAATTGCACCACTGATATTTCCGCATGCATCTACCAACAGATGTGTGAGGGCGGGGCAAACAATAACATCCAGAAGAGCTATAAAAGCATTGGCGGACGATGCAGAAAGATTCAGCTGTATCAGGTGAAGGGCTTGGAGCTGAGAGAGACAAGTAGCAGGAAGTTCAGGTCCTGGTAAGTCATTCTCAGGTGAGAGATTCTGGACAGACAGTTGACGAAGATGAGGAAATAACCGGATGACCTTCAAAACTTCGGTATACGTCACATTTGAGATGGAATACTCTGTGATTTGTTGACACACTGAAGTCGGTGGCAATACTCTAATGAAGGGAGACGAAGTAGTTCCCACTGATGTCCATGATCTCAATTCCGAGGCTTGGATATCAAGCGAGCGGGGATTACCACTTGGGCCATCCTGAATGTGAACTTCCTCCAAGGATATGAGAGAATCTTCCGAAATCGCGAGCATGTCAATTGCCTGTCCTCCGACAAGAAAAAGTGACACCCATCGCCGGGAGTGTGCAAGGAGGATGTTGAGAACAGAGGCGTGCTCAGAGGCCCGGAAGGATACAGAAGATGATTTGGGTACGGACATATCGAGAAATACAGTGAGAGGAAGTGCCTTTGAACGATTGAGGTAAATTGATAGAAGGGAGAGCAAGGCCATCTGATGATGTAAGTCTTTGCTTTTTATCTTCCTCAACTTTAGCTTGACTCGTGTCCAGAGGGAGGGCATTTCGTAAACAGTTATATCTTTCCATCGACGACACACGCGTCCGAACACCCACGGCGGAGACTCCAGGTCTAAAGCGTGTGGAGTCGAACGACGACACTCTCTAGCGCTTCTATCGTGCCCCGCACCGTGAACGAAGATCTGTCTCAACACATCTGCAGGTGTGCGTCTGATGGGGTTGAGAGGCTCTTTGTACCGTGCGATCGCGAGACTAAGCGTCTCTCTGTCATTTTCGAGCTTGGCTAGTAGGAGTTTGATCAAGGCAATACGGGTATCAATGGTATTAAGTGACGATTGCCCATCGGCGATGAAAGATCGAAATGTGCTCTCTTCTTGTTCGGTGGGGCACTCATTTGTTCGAAGGAGTTCGGCGAAGCGGGGGGTATCAGAGGGTATAGTCGGAAGGTTGTTGTTGGTATGGTAGCCGCACTGAGGGCATGTTGGAGTTACGGTAGAGGTCTCCATGTTAAAGATGGTATACAACGAGTGGCTTCGACGATGGTAACAGTATGGTAGAAAGGAAGATTGGAATTTCGCACCCTGACTTATCTACATAGCCCGGATCGTTTTTCTCACTGTCAGTGTCAGTGTCATTGTCTCCATCTTATGCCTGTAAGTATACAAGGTACCTAAGCAAGTTCTCAACAACAATTAACATCAGACTCCCATCTGAAAATGAAGAAGAGTGGCTCGTTTGGAATGGAGCGGTCATGAAAATCGCGAACATGATCATTTCCGGGAAGGTTGTTCCTCGTATGTCTTGAATAAAATTTCGCAATTTTCATTCAGTGTTAACCATCTCTACTCAAGTGCCCCACGCGCCACGTCAACGTCCAAAGTCCAAGGATGAAAGGCCTATCCCGGGTCCCTGGCATCCACCTGTAACACATCTCGTATACCAGTCGTATACTATGCTATACCGTTGTGCCATATCCCCCATCGTTAGCGACGGATGTATAGGACATTTCATGAAGGCCGACGCGGACTATATGGTACGGACTGGTACCTTATTAGGCATGATATTGACTGTAATTTGTGAAACACAGAGATAATTTGCAGAATACAATGTACAAAGATCGAAGAGATTAGACATACAGTACAGATTCAACTGATCACGTAGATGTAATCTCAACTTTCGCTCCCATTGAACGAAGGTCCTTCAATCGCGGATGGCCGAGCATCGTCCTCGCTTGCCCATCCCGCGCCGCAACGAGGATTTCGAGCGGCGCTGCAGAGCCTGACCGACGAGAGCTTACACATGCATGCAGCTTCTCCATGATATCCATGAAGGGCAAGAGGCTCAACTGGAATTGGAATCGGCGTAGATTCGGAAATGGGGTCACTGGCGGCGAAATATTGGAATGGGAGTTCGATGTCGCTGGAGACCATGACATTGACAAAGCAACCGGGGTTAAAGCAGGTGGTACGTGCAAGTGAGTGATGACCTCAATCACTGATGTATAGAAATGGAAACCTCGGATTTCGATTGTTTCGAGTGCAAGCCTATTCTGGAGGCCTTTGACGAGGATACCTGCGCCCTCTCCAGCAATTAGGTGCTGTAGTTTAAAGTTTGAACGCCGTTCAAATCTTTTGAATGCATCCCCGAATATTCCGTAGACCGACACTGAAAGGTGCGTGAGGGCAGGACAAGAGATCGAGTCAATAAGGGCCACCAGACCATCAGTCGGGAGGAATGTAGCAAGAGGATTATTCTGCTGTCGTATATTAAACTCCCGGAGATAGGGGAGGCGAAGCTCTGAAGTTGGTGGATTGTTGCTATTCAAGATATCCTGTACAGAAAGTTTACGGATGTTAGGAAGTAGAGGAAGGATCTTGTGCACTTCAGTGTACATCACAGTGGAGATTGAATATTCTGTGATTTGGCGACAAAGTGAGGTCGGCGGTGTTATTTGAACATACGTTGATAAGAGGTTGCCCACCGCGGACCAGGCCCTCAACTGCGAGGCAGCGATATCTAGTGATCGCGGGGCCTCCATGGAACTCTCTTGGATTTGAATGTTCTCCAGCGACATCAAAGAATCCCCTGACAAGATTTTCGTGTCAATCCCCTGCCCTCCAACCAGAAACAACGATTGCCATCGCCTAGAATGTGCGGCAACGAGACGCAAGGCGAACCCAACAAGATCAGGAGAAGCTGGCGCGGAGAACATGTCGATGTAGACAATGAGGGGAAGCGCACTCGAACGACTGAGATAGATGGATAGAAGAGATAATGCCATAGGTATTCGCCGAGAGGGGGAATCCCGGATTTTGCCCAGATCGAATTTGACTCGTGTCCAAAGCGACGGTATTTTATAAACGACTATGTCCTTCCATCGACGACACACTCGAGCATAGATCCATGGAGGAGATTTGATATCCAAACAATGTGTAGTAGAGCTGAAAAAATCTTCCGGATTCGTGAAGTATCCCGCACCGAAACGGAAAATGACTTCTAACACGTCCAAAGGCATGCGTCTCATTGCGCCGAGAGAGTATTTGTATCGGCTGACCTCCGGCCCAAGTTTTCCCTTCATCTTCTCCATCTCGTGAAGCGATCCTTTCATTAAAGCGATACGAATGTCCAAATCACGCAGGTAAGAGCGTCCCGACTTGACGAAGAATCGAAAGATTTCCTCTTCCTCCTCTGTGGGAGGCTCATTTGTACGAAGAAGCTGGGTAATGCGGGAGGCATCAGATGGGATAGTCGGAGGACCGCGTTCTAGGCAAGCTACTCCAGTGTTTATCATGATCGACATTGGTTCTGGATAATTATAAGCAAGTTATTGACTGTAAGTTGAAACCAAAGGCGTACACAGGATGTTTTCGATACAAATATGACTGTCGATAGAGAGACGAGAGGTGCATGCCACCTTGCCTTTGCCTTGTGTTTTATAGACCGCGCAACAAAGAGCCTCCCAAACGGGAGGTCCATTGTCAGTTCATTGTTCTCTCCTTCGACTTTATCTTGCGCGGATTCTCGCGATTGTGACAGGGTTGAAGACAATCCCAAGAACTTGAAAGGAAAGCAATTGCAAAGAGTGGCTATGGAATGCTATGACTAAGCGCCACGAATATGGGCGCCTCTAGATCTTTCCTAGCGTCAAATCACGATTTTGTCAAAGTATGACTCAAGGAGACCTTTCTAAGCATGCTAGTTCCCTCATTAAACGTGTTCAAATTAGTACTGCCTACCATTGGTACAAAATCATCCTGTCTTTGACTTTTCCCAGACTCACAGTGTCAACCAGTTGCCGTTGACCAACACTCATATGCAAACAATGCAAACAAGACCTTCGCCGGATCATTCTGATATTTCAACAAATACCAGCTGCTGTACAACCCAGTCAGGATCGAGGTATGCCTGAGGTGCACCGACTGGCTGAGGGATTCCTGCACTTCTTCGTCTGCTTCGTCTGTGGATTGTCCTTGCGCATAGAAGCCACTGATCAACTCTGATACCAAAGGTATCAAGACAGAACCCACACTCATTATGGCTCGGTCTTCATAGCCCACGGAAGGGATTCAGTACTCATTCGCATAGAGAATTTGAGTTTTTCTTATACATTATGGACGGAAAGCTAGGGAAAGCTTGAATAGTGTGTAATCGCCATCCTATCTAGGACCTCTTAGTTCGAACCTAAAGACATCTCACTCCGATGCATTCATAATGAACCCATTTACTTCCTTGAGATATGGTCCCAATCGCTGACTTTTCATGTAAGATCAAGGTTACTAAAATCCTCATTCTATTGATTGTGGGAAGCGAGATCCTTGGATCCGAGTCGTCGCGCCAGTGGCGGAGGGCGCACAGAAGGATTCCCAGGAAAGAAAGAGGAAGGGGCGAGGGTTTAGCGCCAGTCCAGAGCCCTTTCACAAAGTGCGCCGCTACAAACATCGGTGAGGGAAAGTCATTGAGATCAAGGGTCTTGCGATAGCCGCTACGTTTCGCCTGTTCACGGACAGACTTTATGGGTAGGTGACGGAGTTTATTTGCAGGTTCTTGCAGGTAGTAAACTTGTGATCAGATTATGCGGTTGTTTAACGTCTAGTTCAGTAGTGATGTTTGTTGTTATGTTGCACCTGTATGTTTTTGGACTGATAGATACTGATAGAGTGATGTAGAGGATGTAGACGTGGATGCATAGCAAGATAGGCTATAACTGGTTAACTTTAGGCTTTTCTTGAAGGCAATTCAAGTGGCATTAGGATCTGTCAACTTGCAGGCTGAGAAGTGTCAAAGTTTCACGAAATGAAATGCATCTCAGTTATGGCAGTGAGAAAATATCAACTCACTATATTTATTCAGATTTTTTTTCACTTCGCTGAGACGCTGAACAACCAACTTAATTAAAAGACTGCTCAAACCCTAGCTATCAAGGGAGTGACTTCTCATGACTTCATCTTTCCCTTGCCCACTTCTATCATCCTCAGCGATTTCGGTAGATGATGCTGACTTACGCATTGTGTATTCTTCTGGATGGACAACCGGAGGGCGAATAGGGTTTGAATGTGAAGGAACAACGCACGTAGCGAGTAGGAGCATGAATTCCACCGCTATCTTCACTTTTGAAGGTGCATACCAGTGTGTCCGATGGAGTTCCCGGCAAATTGTTTAAATTCTGATATACCACAGGAATTGGTGTCGAAGTTTTTGGAACAGTAGGAACTGGGGAATCTCCCACATCCACCTACCAAGTTGATGACTTATCGAACTCTCAATTTGAATTTGTATTTCCAGTACTAAACCTTCAAAACAATTATCGTGTCCCGTTCTATAGGTCGCCTTCACTAGAACCAGGAAATCACACACTGACTATCATGGTCCTACCTGAAGCTACAACTGCTGGCCAGTTTTACCTGGATTATATCATCTATAATCCAATACCCACATTTACACTACCCAGTCCAGCAGCAACTATTATAGGTAGCACCTATAGCACATTATCCACCTGCACAGCTGGAACCACTCCATATCCCTCATCTGCTGCTGTTCCTGCTATTGCAGGCGGTGTTGTTGGGAGCATCGCAGGTGTAGTTGTGGGCATGATTTTGACATTTGCATTATTGCGCAAGATTCGAATTAGATTTTGGCGTAAGTTCACTGGTATCCCAGCAAAATATAAACACTGAGTAGTGATTTCTCTGGCAGCATTCTCCATTTGTTGCAATTCCAGCACCCAACATCAAAAACCAGTGAATTCCAGGAGAAATATTTCTCAAGAAAGATCATTTCAAACAAGGGACTTGGACACAACTGCAGAGCGTGCATCAATCTATAATGTTGATCTGGATCTAAGTATGCATTTTGGACATACAAGAGTGCTGCACTGGCAGGGTGCAAGTGACTCAGAACACCTCTCCGACCCCCCATCCTATGATGGATAGATTCGGCACCCCATTTGTCAGACTTCCATATTGATTACATCTACCAAGACCCAGAGGAAGTGTACGTTCATGTGGCTTCTTTGGGATGATAATATGCACATGTCTGCACAATTTTCTGTAGTATCCTTTTGTCCTAAAATTCCTCTTGTGAAATATTGTTCATAAATCTCAGGGCTAAGTCTTTCTTGAAGTTTCTTCAGACTGGATTAGCATCTGCAAAACCTGGATGTTCATGAGAGCAATAATACAGGCTGGAGAGGACTGTCCAGCACTGGAGGTTTATGCATATCCATAATTGATCAACCTGTGCTTGCCAGAGCAAGGATACTGGCTGGAGAGCACTGTCCAGCACTGTCAGCTGCTCTCCAGCTATTAGCCCAAAATCCAGGTTTTACAGATGGCCAATAGATTAACTACTTAACAGGTACACTTGAGAATGATCAGTTGTTTTATCATCAACTGAGATTAACTACTTAACAGAGAGCACTCTCAGCTGCCCTTCAATGATTAGCAAAAGAATCCATGTTTTGCAGATTGGCAGTGCTACTGCACATAAGTGCACAGGTCACTGCAAGTAATACCGCAAATGCTGATGGCCCGCTGGAAATTGTCCTTTAGCTTAGGAAGCATTTGAATAATCATAATGTACTGTAGGTATAGATAGAAGATCTTAACAAATGCTACAGCTTGCTAGCTTCAAGCTAAAGTTACTTGAAGCCATTTCACTCGAATAGCCCATACTTACTCCGATCTGTCAACTAGCAGGCTAAGAAACAATGTCCAGACCCTGATCTCAATCGAGACAGCGAGAACTTAAACCCCCCAACCTATAATGGATAGCTTCGACACCACATTATTTCGCTGTGCAGGATGGGTCTACCTCTGTAAAGTCACCCTAACAATGCCTATAGGATATGCACTCATGTGGCTTGAGCAAGCTTACAAGTTTTGATTGCCATTTGGTGCTCACGAGACCCTGATCCTTCAGAGTCAGTGATTGTCATGCTAGCACTGAGTGAATATCTGTCTGTATAAGGACGTATGCATACAACAACAAATATATTGCTCCTATCAACTGTATAATCCTATCCTACTAGTAGGTGTTCTTCAAACAAGTTCTCGTGTGATTTCAATGATCAATATCAGACCCTCCCACTGCTGTCATTGGTATAATTTGGAGGTAATGGAGTCACGGTGGGAAGTGACCTCTGAGGACCCGGACTTTGTGCTGCAAGCAGCGTTTCCAGAGTTCGCATTCTCCTCATCAGCTCATCGATCTTTCCATCAGATAAAAGTGGATTGATTGTAGTTGTTGAGCTTCCCTGTTCAAATATATCAACGTCTCTCCGGGATTCAAGGTATTTCAGGGTGAAAGGATCTGGTGTGAGTATTACTGGAGCTGGCTTCCGTGCTAAGGGTGGTTGGCTCTCCAGTGATGACTGAAGTGCACCATTGCGTTTTCTAGACCGTCGTCGGATATAGAACACACCGAGAATTGCGGTGATCAGAACCATGATTCCGATTACTCCCCCAACAATTGCACCGGTATACTTTTTTGAACTGTTATTCCCAATTGGTAGGTCAGCATCTTGGGTTCATCTGTCTTGACGCACTGCATACCTTGATATGCCAATGGTTTGCATACTCCTTTGACAAAAGTGATGATAAGTCAAAATAATCATATAAAACTAGTTGGTAGGTAGGAGAAACCCACTGTTTCGGTGACTGGGTTGCCATTGAGCTTATGCCACCACTTTCAAAAATAAAGTCAGAGATTATTTATGTGATGGTTTAATCTTACCTTGAACTGCCTATGGAAGTTCGGCTGGGTATACTATAGGAGCATATATCTATGAGCACCGTAGACTTGGTTATTAGGTACTCGTCAATTGAGATACCTTGTAGATGGAGTTAATGAAGTACTTGAGAGGGTATTCAAGGATTGGGTAGAGTCTGCAGATGCAGATTCGACAATGGTACTTGACGCAGTTGTGGTCTGAGTTATAGTGCGGGTGACTGTTGGATCATGACTAGAAGATGTTTTAGAGAGTGTGGTAGTGTCCTCTGGCTCATTGCAAAAAGGAAAGTCGGGATTATTGGAATTACAAGTACAAGCTGAGGAGTCGGGATCTACCCTGATAGAAGAGTCGGTTTGCCCGTTTCCTATGCAAATTGTACGTTAATGGCTGGATCTGAGGCTCCAAAAAGTGAAATCTGTCCACCAACGCTCCAAAAAGCAGATTGAACTGCCCACTGAAGTACGGCGTAGCGGCAAGATCATTGAGAGAGAGATGCTGCTATCATATATCTTGGGAATACAACCTATGATTCAAATGTTGAAGTCGAGGTAAGTTTGAGAACAGCTCCAAAGTGGATAGTCTTTACCGGTCAAACAACCGGTGCTGGACGCCAGTCAGAATGAGAAATCTACGTGATGTTGTACCGAGTCAGCCCTATAAATGCAAGTATTTACATATCAACAATCAGATTGCTGCATTTTGACACCCACCGAGCAGGAACTTGGAAGAAGCTGTAGTTATGATTTATGGTTACAATCATGGAATAGGCAAACAGCTCAAACAGAAGAGGATCAGCGACTCAACTTGTCGTTTGACAGACAATCAGTCAATCCTTTCAGAACCTTCCAGAAATTTTATATCGTTTTTCTTCTGTTGCCAGTTTCAACTCGACCAGTGCAGTCGAAAGCTTGAAGGTGTCTTTATTCACGAATGATTGTTTTAATATAATACCTATATTGATGGTAGATGCAGCTCAATTTCGGCGTCGACTGGCATTTATCGAGAGATCAAGTGTCCCGTACTAAGCATCATCGGGACATTAAGCAGCACGACGGTGACAGGCAATGGCACTTCTCACAGCCTTGGTGGTGAATCGAGATGAACGTATACACGGTGTATGAAATGTGAGGGGTGAAGTGAGGCCAACAGGCAAGCACTGTCATTCAATACCTATGGCCAGGAAATCAGCATACTTACGATAGTTACAACGTACCTTCTTGACCAACTGTTATAACTACTAACAATTATACAAGACTACTGCTTCCATTAGAAGACGGTAGTATTAATACGTTCCATCTCACTCTACTGGTTGACTAGAAATCGTCAAGATCGTTGCTGAGCTTGAGATTCAGCTATGGTCAAACCCAAAAGACTGATGCGGAAGAAGAGGGGAGAAAAGAGGTTGGTCCGAAGATCAGGACCACCGGCGTTGTCTTGGTCAGCTAATTCTTTCTTTGCGCACTTCTTTCCTGACCTCTTCCAACAAGCTGAATTCATTTCACGCAATGTTTCTAAGTAAATGAACCCTTAAATGCTGAATTGGTGCGGCCGGAAAAACAATTAAAAGTGCGTATCAATCATCTCAAACCTTTGCCTCACCTCTAACGTTAAATTTAGTACGGGAGATTACAGGTCAATTTCTCATAGCCAAGAATACTTTGAGAGTTTGCGTTTGTTACTCTAAGTTCAAATGCCGTTGATCCATCGTGAGCTCATCAGCTGTATCCTGTTCAAGTGTTTCCAGCTGTTATATCATTCTAAGAACACAGCATACAGCAACGGCTCCGCTTGACGACTCCAGTAGGATGTTAGATATCAAGAATCGATGTAGAGGGACATAGTAGTCTCTGCTTCACTTACTATTGATCGAACCAATCCGAAACTCCAATGCAACTGAGGCAAACTTCAGAATCAAAAGAGGAGCTGGTTGCGTTTTCAACACCGCTAGCCTCATCCCTGCTGTAGCCCACTGTCCAGCACATATATTGTCCCACTATCGCCACAAACCCAGTCATTTTTGTAGCCATAATCAAGGCAAAATATTGCTATGAGGAGTGGGTTTATCGTATCTTATCGTTGATATTTGCTGGGGTGGCTCCACATGTGAGTTTGGACACCCGATCGACAAATTCAGGCTATGACCAAAAAGAACGTCAAGCTTGGCGTAGTAGATGATGACATGGGCCTTCTTCGCAGTATATCAACTGAGGTCCCATATCAATATACCTGAACACAATCATGCCGCACAAATTCGAAGACAGCGCTGCCTCCAGTAAATCTATCAAGAAAGATATGCAGGGTGAGCATCGATTCCAATTCTGTGCAATATCACTAACGTTTGTTTTTCCTCCATAGCTAAAGGACTCGGTCATCCAACAGCCGTTGACAATGCACCAACAGGAAAAGACCTCTACCGTTCTGCGCCTGTTTATCAAGATGCCCCCGATGACCCTCCTGAACCAATGGAGACGTTGAAGAACCCCGGCTCTGCGGGAACGGATTCTAAAGTCGGAGCAGCAGGAGCAACGGGGACATTAGAGGTTGTTAGAGATGCCCCGGTACGTCGTGATTTCAGCATCTGCGCATAATCCCTCATGATTCTATGCAGATGAGGAATTTACCTCCGGAGGTCGTGGACAAATGAATAGCCTAAACATTAAACTGCATGTATCTTCACATAGACTGACTCGAGATACCATATGATTGTCCTCAAAACTTGTATTTGTGGTTTTCGATCGCATTCCTGTCAGCTTTAGGATGATGCGAAGATATAGGATAAGTGATTGATAAAGTTTAAGTGTCGAGAGGTAAGGAAAAAGGAAGGTTTTAGTTTTACTCATTCATAGAAGCTTCGCCTTCGACCCTCTAGACCTCTCCAAAATCATGTACAAGACGATTATGATCACAGTGAGTATTGCTTCCAGAGCTCCTTTTCCTGCCGATGGTTGCGTCGTTTCGTTAACCCTTTCAAACGATTTGCGGCTAGCGGGTACAAAGTGAAATTGAGGAATGGACTCGTTGGCAGGATTCCTCAGGACGATCTTTGGAACGTTAATGATAGGCAATCGGTTCGATGAGGAGCAGAGACCTCACCCTCCGACCAGATTCGATTGACCAGAAAAGCCCAGTTACGTCGTTGGTCATGATTGATCCAGTCCAACTGTTGTTGCCCGTTCTGCAGAAGAAATCATGAGGCGATGATCAACGGGCAGAAGAATTCACTGGCGATTCTACTCCACAGACAATCCACTGCATCCCTTCTGCCTTGTCAGTTACCACATTGCTTCCTACGGTGGAGGGGTTGTCCTTTGTCTGGGTTTGATTTCCAGTCGAGAAAGAGGTGATTGCCCCATTTCCAGATATTTGCCACTAGATTATGGTTATGATGAATAAGTTCCATATATTAGGCAAGTGAGGGATTGCACGCACGACACTGAGGGGTGTTTGAACTGTGCCAACACTAATTGTCTCCCCAGCAGAAGGTGGTGCAAGAAGCTTTTTCTTTGCATCATTAGGAATATGGATCTCGTACAGGCCGGGAGGAAGTGCAACAGACATGGTGAGTGTAGGGAATTCGCGGTAGTCTAATAAAGGGATGAGCAATCGATGTTGTCCTCTAGAGCCTGAGAGAACCTTACTTACCTTTGCACCTTTATATCTCGCCATTTGTCAATTTCGAGTAGATCTGTCGTCCATTGTCGTAGCACTGACATTTTAGTTGGATGATGCGACAGACAGCTTACTCGCGCCCTATGTAATGTATTTCGAGTACGGGTTTTTAGTATAGGACAAGCTTTAGAAGTGCCTACGCCACGGTGGCTCGCAAAGCTCGCACCGCACCCCAGCCGGGCACACAGCCTGCTCTCAGCATAGGACACGGCAACAAGTTTGACCGATGCTAAAAACCATTCAGAAAACAATTGTTCCAATGGGGCCATGCAGTATGATTATTGAGTTTGAGTTGACACACCTTATGATCACACTGGCAGCAGAAATACATCTAATCAACAATCTGCTGTTTTGTTCATGCATGAGTACAGTTTAGGCAGACATAGTATGTAGAAGAATAGAATGTGTGCCTGGGAGCTGCAGGTAAGTTAGACAAGAAAGAAAACTTGCAATCTACTCCAAGCTCTCTGGTTTATAGGTACATATCAATAATGTCGGAATAGCAAGCAGGTTCAGCTTGATGATGCTCCTCTATGTCTTTGACCGGGATTTTCGTTCCATCGACATCTGTGGGCCAGCCCGTGATATCCCAAACTTGCCAAGGAATTTCCAAATCTCCCGCTGCAGACAGAAACCAAGGGAAGATATCAGGTATTGAATGCAAAGTTGATATATTCTATCCTTACATTTTAGAGTTTCGATCTGAGTGTAACATAGTCCAGTGAAACCAATTTGCTTGTTTGTGAGGAGAGTATGATCCATCTCCATTTGGGTTTTGTAAAAACTTACAGTGTTGGGTGAAGGATCGTGTGGTTCTTTGGAATCAACCTAATGTAAAGATTCCCGTCAAGCAAAATATGGATGGGGATCAACGGGTCATACACACCCTGTTGGTTTCCGTCAAGAAATTTGCACCAGATAGTATGAGAACACACTATTTGGCTCGATTGGATGATCTTGAGAAATTCACGACGATTAATGCTCTCACCAGCTGACCCTTTTTACCTTGTCTACATTGCGCAAATTGAGGTCATATATTATTCGAGAGTAATATGAAATTACTTACACAATATCTTTTGAGAGCGCTCCACACACACGAATTTCTCAACCTTTTGGATTCGTCGTGCTTTTTGTTGTTTGGTGGAAACATTGCTGATTAGACGGGGAAAATCATAAGATGAGATGATGAGTCTCACTGACGCACATGGTTCAGAGCAAAGAAACATCGACTTCCTTCCGGCAATTGCAGGATGGGATAGGATGGGAGTGGCGACTCATGATAGGGTAGACCCCGATCTTGCAGCTCAAGCAGTCGAGCAATTAGTGTCGCATAGCAAGGCATTGCTAGAATCCTGACAAGAATGGGCATCACGAGCGAGATGGCACAAGATAACATTCCGTCCCCCCGAGATTGGCTGATATCTATACAGACTACTTGTGTACCTTCCCTCAACCGTGGCTGCCATTCCCTCGCTCAAGGTGTGCAGCTGTTCCCGTAGCTCTGTTTGTGGGACGCAAAGGCGATTTGTATGTCTTGTTGAGCAAGTATGTATTCCTAATTTTTAATTTTTTGGTATATGTTTCTGATAGTTCCATTTCTTCAGAAGCGCTTCTCCTCTCCGTTCGTTAGCGACTCCCTACCGTCACGGCTGAATCTTTGCTGGCCAAAGATCGAAAGCTGGCTCGACTCTCAGTTTTCTAGATCTTCTCACACTTCCATCTTGTAGTTTCTTGTTCAACTCGATAGAATCGCTGTCCCACGAAAACCGTGTGTCTTCTAACAACTTTCCTGTTCCTCTTCGGACTTGTTTCTGTCGTGTCTGCAGGCCATCCACCGGTTAGTCTTAGCTATCCCCCATCGGGATTTTGTTGCACATTGACTGAGTAATGAGGAAACAGATCAATGCCTTCGAGCTGGTATTACATGTCAGTTCAAGATGTCTAGAGACATCCTGTCAGGATTCTTCGAACAACGCGGGTCCCTCCTACAACTATGACATTCCGAATCATTCGGAGTTCGGTACGGTGAAGGCGACATTGAAGCTGTTACTTCCGAAAGACGCGAAGATGCCGCAATCTGAGCATTCCTTCGGCTGCTACCAGTTTACGATAAACACTTGGAATCTATCGGCCGAGATGAAGCGCTCTTTTGATGCTGGGGAAACTGACGCGTTTCCCATAGTAAGAGTTGTGGTGGCAGTAGCAAGGTAACTTCGTGTGTAGGCGATATCCCAGGAGGCGTTGTTGTAGATGAGATTTCCAGTGCTGATGACGTTGTCGATCTGGATGAGAGAACGAGGTAAATTCAAGGAATTTAGCTGGGATAGGACTCCAATGATTCAAGAAAGAAGAGACTTACACATTGTCCTGAACATCCTGTAAAGTTATGGATCGATGGAACGCCGGCCCTGGAAGAATAGAGTAAAGGATATGTGATTCACATACAAAATGATGAGAAACCCGCGCACCACACGCTACAAAGAGTGATACCAATAATGAGTTGTTGAGGCTGGAAGTATTGCGCGATATTACAGGCGTTGAAAAGATACGCAGCGGTAGGTGTATCCCAATCGGTCAGGTTTATAGTCGAGGAGCTATTGGCTTGAGATATCGATGCCGGGAGACTCCCGCGCTAACGAACGAAAAAGTTTAATTCCAATGATTTTGAACATATCGCTGGTAAACTCACCGGCCGAAACCACACATAGATTCCACTAACATCCAAACTGCGTCGCAAACACACCTCCGCCAGTCTGCGCAAACCCACTTCCAAAACTGCTCGGTTTCTTTTCTTGTACTACACACCCTGCGCCCGTAGAGAAATAAGTTTGAAGAATGCTCCCTGAATGTATCGAGTTCGTGCCTAGGAAACATTCAGAGGTGGTGTGCAGGGCGTATTGGTTTGAATCGAGGTTGTTGATGGCTTCGATGATGTAATTTCGCCGGAATTTGGCCAGAGGAGGTCGGTGCCGAGCATCCAGAATGAAGGCCAGACCTGTTAATGGGGAGGGATTAGATAATGGTATCATGAACTAGATAGGATAAATAACGTACGGAACAACCGTAGGGTATGTGCCAAACGTCAATAACAGCAAGACTACCGATGGGATATGCGTCCTTCGTAGTGATCTTCACCTACAGAAACAAATGAGTGGAGCATAATACAACAAATGGATATGGTCAACGCACCGTATTCCTGGTTCCACCGTCGCAGCTACCGTTATATTTGTCGGATTATCGACCCGTATTATCGCATAGTTGGTGTTTGGGTCGATGTAAGTCAGATGATGGAGCGACAGCAGGACGAGCCTCGAGAAGAAGTCGTTGAGAGTAAATTCAACCGGGGATTGAGACTGATGAGAGTCTGGGCTAGCACCGAGCTGCTTATCGTCATGTGATCATTCTCGGCTGTCGGCTTCTAATGATTGCCGAAATCTGCTTCCAACCATGACCATTGCAGCGATCCTCACTCTCACCAGACTGGCCTCTGCGACTGCTACAGTATACTCTAGAAGCTCATGCTACCATGTCCTCCAAAAGTAAAATCAAACTGAACCGGCGAAATTTACCTTTTGGCTCGCGAAATTATCTAGGATATCATTCTCAATCAGATGTGCGAATTGAGAGAACTGGGAAACTCAGGTTGTCCACTAATGACCTGGAAAGAAACGCGAATCTTGGAACACTAACAAATGAATCAAAAAGGTGATTCGACCGATTAATTGCTGAACCGCCCCTTCTTAGTCGTCTTTCTCCCGTCAAGGTGTCTACGAAATCTAGCCGCGTATAAACCTCCGAAAGATGCCTTTCCTCAACCGTGGCTGCCATTCCCTCGCTCAAGGTGTGCAGCTGTTCTCGTAGCTCTGTTTGTGGGACGCAAAGGCGATCTGTATGTCTTGTTGAGCAAGTATGTATTCATAACTCTGAATTTTTTGGTATACGTTTCTGATAGTTCCATTTCTTCAGGCGCGCTTCTACTCTCCGTTCGTTTGCTGGTGACACTTCGCTACCTGGTGGTAAAATGGATCCAGAGGATAAGACAATAGAAGATACCGCTGTACGTCGTACGTATACCTTGTCTCGAGGGTTGGCTGTTCATTAGAATATAGAGAAGAGAAGCTTTTGAAGAAGTGATCACCGACTTCTTCAAATTCCTTTAGTTTACGCTAACTACTTCGCCCAGATAGGTCTCCCTCCGGATCAAAGCAAAGTGCCGCTACTTTGTGTTTTGGAGCCGTTTTATGTGGCAAAAGAATTACTGGTAACTCCGTACGTATTCTTATTCATCTTTTCTGGGATTCGAATTTTGACTATTGCTCGAAACAGAGTCGTTGTTCTTATCCTGGACAATACCCTTCAAGTAGGTCCACTTCCGTCTCTCTACTACTACACTCACTCACCTTCCTGCCAGCCTATTCTCAATGCGCCGGAAGTAACAGCTCTCTTCTCTCATCCGCTTGCGTCCTTTCTATCTTCCACACCACCGGCCAGTATAATTCGCTCGGAGCCGGAACTCGTCGAGCTTGGAGACGATGGTACGGGTTACCGCTACCATATCTCACACGATTGGGATTGGGATGGTCCGCCTGTCGTGGTCGACCCTTCGAAAGTCAGGCATGCGAAAACAAAGCGGACAGATCGACGATCTAGTCTCGTCTCTGACTCCAACTCAGTCGAGCCGATTATTCAAAGACCAAAATTCAGGATGCACCAATTCCTCACGGGTAGAGAAGCAGGAGGTATCAAACCAGTGTACGGTCTAACAGCGTGCGTCCGTTCTGCATCTTTGCTCTTCGATGATTGACATCTTTTTCCCTTTCCGGCCCCAATCTTGCTCGTCGCCCATAGTGCAATTATGATTCACACCGCTAGAGTCGGATACTCTCCCTCACCGCCTGCGCTAGCCTCTCCGGATTTTGAAGTATCACCTCCCGGCAGTCCCAGTACATCGACCCGTATTGCCTGGGCGTTCTGTCGCCCAAATCCACCCGATCGACCGAACCTCTTGCGGCAGGCGCTAGAGGAGGAGGGTTTGGCCGGGAAAGTAGATTGGAAAAGGGTGCGTGAGGTCGCAGGGGTAATCGAAGAAGATGTTGGACCTAGAAGAGGTTTGAAGAATTCTAGCTCAGGTTCGCCTTCGTTTGGACATATTATTAGAACACGCAGTAAACTGTAGCGAGGTGTATCGTGAATGCACGGATTCTAGGTGTACTTCGTGACGGTAAGAGGTCTAGGTAAAGTGCCTCTTGAAGGATTCTTAGGTTCTCCTTCTCACAGTAAACTCGAGAAACGTCTTTATTTTATACATTCGGAACAACGAACACGCTGTACATACACATTACAAGAATTGGACGAGCGATTTTTTCGTAGTACGAACTTAATATGCTACACCATGCAAGGGCATTCCTTTCGGGAAAAGTTCTTTGAAAACATCAGGATAATGACGTTCCGCGACGTCCGGGTGGCTCCTGCAACGCAGAACAAGAATTAGAATCCAACACAGAAAGAACGGCTCCATCGACTGACTTTGCTCTGCCTAACAGATATACTTTCCCCGCAACGTCGTGAGCGTATTCCGGATAGTTGATAGCTTTTCGAGGCCGTGGGTCAATATCGTTCACAATGCGATAATTGCTACTCACATTCGGTTTCTGGAAGTACACCTCTCTCGTCCCGGAGCTTGAGTATTTCCGGAGGCACTGGAAAACAGCTCGTTTAGCGATTTCAAATGGAGTAAGGAGAACAAGAAGGGCCTACTTTTCAGTGCGCTTCCGTCAACTCTGACTTCCAAATCCATTCCACTGTAGAAGAACGGGATCGAATATCGGGGTGTCTTAGACTCTAAAGGAGGAGCTAGAACTCGGTGAGAGGTTGCTCGAACGACGCCTTGGGTGACAAATTCCAGTGCTGGTGATTATATACATGAGTTAAGAGCAGATTAGAGCGAATTTGGGTCTGACATCTTCCAAAATTGATCTACAGGTGTGCAGAGTATGAGAGAGACAACTTGGAAATTTCGACTGGTTGAACACCTACTACAAACGTATCAGGCTTTGGAGGCACGTCAATCCATTCTCCGCGCAGATTTTGAGCTTGCAATCCACGATGTTCTTCTGATGCTTGAAGAAGCTATATTCAATCCTAACCATGAATTACTTTCCAAGCAATAATCTGCCGCAAACTCACGAAAGTGAGCATAGCCCCATCATAATGCGCCCCAACACCCTGTCGGGATTCCCGCTGTACAGGATACTTGATAATCTTGCTGAGATGCATACGGTCGTTGGTCTGGTAGAATTGGTCCAATGTATCGGGAGGTAGACCAAGTGCCTCGGAAACGAGTTGGAGAAAGTCGGAGGCAAGCGCCGATACTTGAGCGAGGTATGATTCAAATAATGCTTTGAATCCTGGAAGTTGATCTTCGTTCGGGTACTATGAATTGCTCAGTACTCATTCTGTAGCGTAATGGAGATACACACCTGTGACGGTCCATACACATTCCAATATGCCGGATCTCCCGCCTTTAAGGGTCTCTCCCCTTCGAACCCCGTCCCAAAATCAAACTGTTCTCTCCAATCTACCTCCCCCTTGGTCAGCTCCATTCCCATCCTCGAATACCCCAGAAAATGTGGCGAATTGGCCATCCTTATTTGGTCTTTGTCCCCTTGCGGTAGACCAAACAAACGAGGGACATAATCATGTTTGAGTTTGTGGATGAGGCCTTTATCTACGGGCGTGTTGGAGAGATAGAGGAATCCGACGTTGACGAGGACGGTTCGTAGTTGGGATATAAATTTGAGCCTTGATTCGGGGTTCGAAGTGGCGAGGGAGTAGTCGAGGGTTAGTATGGATTGGAAGTTGGCACTCGACATGTTCGCTTGCAGTGGGAGGAGAAAGGAACAAATCCGCGTTCCTTTGTAGTATTCGATCTAGTGGTGCCAGATGACGCGATCTTGGCGAAAGGAAGCTGATGACCATCTTATTTCACTGCCAACTCGGATGTTCTAAGGTATCGGAACAGTCTAGCGAGGACTGTTCAACAACAGTGATGTAAACAGAATATCGAGTCAGTATAGCTTGTACTTGTACCAATGCAGAACAGGAGACTCCTGTATCTCCTGGTGCTACCTATACGCCTCCGAAGTGGGAGGAAGCGACTTACTATTGAATTACATGATGACTCAGGCTAGACCTTTGACTCCCAAGCCCAGACGATCCCGGATCTACTCGATTCTTCAGTCCATTTGAACGGGAGGTCTCATGGTCTACACGTTAAGAGACCAAAGTCACTTCACTCCTTAGGTCTCCGCACTATTGCGTAGTAAAATTAAAAAGAGATTATGATTACGCAGCAAGAGTGATGTTTTGACATGTTCCTGCATACGCTGCATGGGTTTTGACTTGAATGGGACCACTGAAATTTATGTATCCTGAGCGGTCAGAAGCTTTCAAGTTTCCAGCCTCATAGCGATCTAAGCACCGAGAGTGATGGATAAGCGTCTTCAGCGATGATGAAGTAACAGTATACTTGCATTTGTAATGACCTTTCACTTTGTCCTTATATTCGAACCAGATCGTACTTGTGTCGGTCACAGTCAAATGAAGCGTTCCTTTGCCTTGAATGGTACATGTACGGACGGAAAGCTGACAAGAAAACGACTTAGAATAAGCATCGTCAATATTCGAGTGATCCACCCACAGTTGCATCACAACTTTCTCCGTTCGGAGCAGCCATGAGGATAGTAGATGTCACCATTTCATTCTGGGTTATCGTGAAACTGATAGAGTCCTTTAACTAAGAACGGAAAAACAAACAAACGACCATACCTTTTAGTCGCGGTGTTACTAATTGTCGCAGACGCACTAAATTGTGACATAATCCCCGTTATGTCAGGAAAGTTCAGCATGGTCATGAAGCTAGAGGTGAGGCCAATGCTAGTGGATGCTAACGATAGGATCAACATGTTGATACAGGCCAATAAACGGACTTGATGATTAACGCACAACTGATTGTGAACATGGAAGTAGCACTAAATCCTTGTAGTACAGCCATGGAAACTGTTCCAGTCGTGCCATCAAACACTCCAGCAGTGCTCGCGTTGTTGGTTATACAATCTGGCGTTCCTAGAGTGTGTCAATGAGATACGTGCAGAAGTTGTGCGATGGACGTCGTTACTTACCGTCATAGATTATCTGGACCGAACCAGCAGTGCAGAGCTCTGCTTTATAATCGAGCTCCTAGGTACGCCAAAAAATTCTGATTTCGGAAGAAGGCAGGATGCTAAACTACGCACATGTTCATCGTTCGTAACAACATTGCGACTCTTTTTGCTCCAGTGCGTGTCTGCATATTTGTTCATTTCCTCCCAGCCTCCGACTGAATTGGCAGTGACGACGGGGGTAAATGAGCACCGAACCTCGGGGGAAATTGAAATTAAGCAAGCTACGCACGCTTCTTCAACATCTTGCTTTCCAGGGGTACGCACTTCGTCGCCACTGTTCGACGCAAAATCGAGCTCGAGAGACCTGGATCAAATCCTTCCATATTCCTCAAGTCTTGGGATCCTTCGCCGGGGAAAATCATGTTGGAAACAGGCGTCAATTCTGGGATCGCTTGACCTTCGTTTGTGCCACTAATGAACGGTAGCGCTATGCACCCGGAGGCCACGAGAAGGGCGGAATAGCCCGCAATCTGCGACGAGGAGATTAGACTGAGCCTTGACAAAGATCACAACACATGAGACGCACCGTAGTATGAACTCTAACCATAAATGACAATAAATAGAGCGGGGGCTCTACCAGAGAGACAATAGTAATAATTCTCTACCAGAGAGAAATTTTACGGGGAAATCGTTTGCCACCAACGGGGAAGTGAGTTATATAAGTTCAGGTACTCGGGTGGTACCCATTTTTCGTTATCGCATCGCGTGGATGGATCAACTGAGGCTATGCCAGGTGCCGGTGAGGGGTTTCAAGATTATCGAAAGGTATAAAGAGCGTTGCTTTCAGATATACAGAGGTCACTGTGATGTTTCCAATCCAAGCACAGAGAAAAGGACAATTGTGAATTGTGGCTGCAGTCGAAGTCGAAAGGCAGCAGCGCGTGACAATACTGAAACTCGGGACACGAAATTTTCACACCTCAGCGCTTCAGCGTAAACGACTCTTAGCAAACCTCAACGATGCGGATTACGAACAATTCTATAAGTCTATTTCTTTAACCAAGGAGGCAGAAGCTCTGTCAATTCACCTGCATGATTACCTCGACACAGCTGCATAATCACATAGAGATTGACAATGATCAAGGTCATGATGGCCTCCAGAATTCCTGTTCCTGTCGAATGGTTGGGATTTTCGCCGCGAAACTTTCTACCCCACCTTGGAATTTGGTTTAAAGGCCTGCCATCGCGAGGCCCGACAGGAACAAAGTGGAATTTCGGAATGTTCTGGATGCAAATATCATCGAACTGTCGAAGCCATACCTAAGGAGGTTTCAGCCATTATTATGATCCTCGGGTGCCCCACGTAGGTACGAACTCACGCAAGAATTGGAAGGGTTAATTGTCCAGAAAAGCTTCGTTCCATCGTTGCTCATAATATATGCAGTCCAATAGTCTCCAAGATTCCTGTAGAAAGAGGAAAATTCATTCAGATAGGCTAGCACACATACAATTTACAGGATTGTTTAGATACCATTCGGCTCCATAGATAATCCACCGCATTCCACCTACTTTTCCTGTAGTCACATAGTCTCCAACTTGGCACGGCGAATTATTTGTCTGAGTTTGATATTCCGATTTTGATTCGTCAAAAGCCACAATGAGTCCATCGCCAGATATCTGCCACTGCGTATAGTAAAGGATTTTCAATGACGGAAATGAGAACTAGAGATTTCTAGCACATAATGAAGAATTGGACTTGCAGTAGCATCTGTTGATGCTGTACCAGACGTGATGGAAACACCAAGAGATTGAGGAGTAAGAATCTTCTCCTTATCGATCTGATCAGCACTATGAATGTGGATTTCATAAAACCCTGGGGGTAATGCGCTGGTGAACATGAATGTGTACGCCTCTGGGAATGACTGCAAACTACTTTATATCGTAAAACGGACATGTCCAGTCGAAATGGGGGGTGAACAGCAATGCACCGCCAACAAGACATCTGAGAAAATAGTGAATTACAAGCTTGAAGGATGGATGTTGATGGATGTCACCATGCAGTTAAGAGCACCGCCAACCACTCGATTATAGTCTACAAATCAGGATATTTTTCTTGAATTTCCCGAAACAATCTTCAAACCGTGTCAGGATGCGGAAGATGATGATTACCAGCGTTCCACGTCTTCCTCGGTAGTTCAACGCGAACACTTGTTATAAACAGGTTCGTCTGCCGTAGGTATAACGCCGTCAACCGCGGAGCTTTCTCTTCTATGTTCATGTGTGTATTCAATATTTCAAGATCTTCATGGATGCACTTTCCGGGGTGAAGTCTCGTTGAAGGATTGTTGCGCTTGAGAGTTTGGGTTGCGATACATCTGTCGACTAATGAATATAAGAAGAGTGAATCAGAGTGAGTCAAGAACGAACGGTTTTGACAGGGTTCTCATTTACCATCGACGATAAACGCCACTGCGACTGGCCACGTCTCTTTGTCGGTCGTAAGCTTTACTTCCTTAAGTTTGACTTCCTTGCATGTCCCGGGCGCTCAACGCGAAGAAACTTAACTGGCGCTAAGATAAGCATCCGTGATTAGATTGGATAAAAATATAGAGTGATGAGATGAAGTACATCCAGTGATCCACAACGACGACCAACAAAGTTTGTCCGGATTTGAAATCCCAAAGCATTCACTTACTGCCGTCGAACTTCGCCATATTGATGAATCCACCCTCTCATGGAAACCGACCAATCGCGCACAATATAAATCTATTCTTGTCTACGCAGGCAATGTGTTTAGATGTGTTACCGAATCCGCAGTGAAAGACTGAAGTGCTGTTGTAATCAACGTCATATAAGTAAGTGAACAGAATTACCTCTCTGACACCACCACCCACTATGAATGTCAGCGTTCACCCCCTAATTGTTGGGAGGAAGAAATATGTTGCGATCTCGCTATGTTTAGTGAGTCGTTGCTTTTTAGTTTTCAACTATGTATTAATAAAATTCATTTCAGGTCGGGATTTTATTCATTCGCGTACTCTTGTCTCCCCAAAATTACACATTCTCTTCAATGTCGGACTACAACTCCTATCACGAAAATCTACTGCTTCCTGCAGGCAAAGGCACAGCGAACGCCACTCTCGTCTTCCTAGCTCGAAATTCCGATCTTTCAGGCGTCCTTAACAGTATGCGGCACCTTGAAGATAAGTTTAACAAGGAGTATGGGTATCCTTGGGTGTTTCTAAATGAGGAAGAGTTTGACGGAGAGTTCAAGTCGTATGTGGTTAAACTCATCAAATAACAGCCACTCATTTGCTCCTGGTTCGAACTTACAGTGCTGTCCAGAAGGAATCGTCTGCCCCAATATCATTCGGTCTCATACCGAAAGAGCACTGGTACCAGCCGGATTGGATAGACGAGGAAAAAGCGACGGAAGGAAGGGCACAAATGCAAGCAGCAAACATCATATATGCCGGTATCTATCCTTCTTTTCCTTTCGAGAATGAGTTAACAGTGCTTTGTCTTAGATAGTGTGCCATACCGCAACATGTGTCGATTCAATTCCGGGGTGGGTTGGTCATATACTGGATTGTGGATATATTTGCTTATCCATCCTCAAGTTCTTTTTCAATCATCCTCTTCTACAACCGTACAGGTACTACTGGCGAGTTGAGTGAGTTCGACCGTTTCTTTACCACGATTCGGCGTTCCTGTCCTCGCATTTCTCAATTGTATTGTCGATTTCCACCCGATCCCATCTCACGATTTTAACTTTTCTCCCACTGCTTTCGGCTCCGTAATCCACACTCCCGCTAATGTCGTCTTTCTCACTGGTAGACCAGATATTCAATATTTCTGCGACGTGACCTACGATCCGTTTGATTACTTGCGAGATAACAAGAAGACGTATGGTCAGTGTGTTCAACTTATACCGGGTCGAGCTAATCACTGAAGCTAATTATCATTTTTTGATGTCCAGGTTTCACGATATCATTCTACGAGTGGGAAAAGACAATACCTACATTATGGGCCACGGTCAAAGGTGAACATCTTGCTGATCGTCGTCTACATTCATCAATCTCTTTCGATCATCACCTTCAATAATATCATACTCAATACGTCGTAGACTTCATGACCGCGCACCCTGAATACATCGCTTCTGAAAACGCCATGAACTATCTCAGCGACAACGATGGAGATTCCTATAATCTATGTCACTGTACGTACATCTTTTCGATTACCTCTAATCCTTTTTTGCTAAATTGGTTCAACTTCGTAATTTTACCCTTTATTACCTTATGTTTCTGGTTCCCTTCGGCCTCAGTCTGGAGTAATTTTGAGATTGCTGATATGGACTTCTGGAGAAGCGAGGCGTATGCTAAATTCTTCGAGTTCTTGGATTCAAAAGGAGGATTTTACTATGAGGTGAATATCGCACACACTATCCTTTCTTTCCTTTATCAGCTAATATAAAACTCGTTGCTTTTCCCTCAGCGTTGGGGAGATGCTCCAGTCCATTCCATTGCTGCTGCTCTTTTCCTGCCAAAGGATCAGCTGCATTTCTTCAGAGACATCGGCTACCGTCACGAACCATTCCAGCATTGTCCAAAAGGAGACGATTGGGTGAGGGGAAAGTGTACGTGTAATTCGCATGATACACTCGGTATGTTTTTTCTCTTGTAATGTTTGATTTTGACGACAATGCTAATGCTGGGAATCTCCTACAGACTACGCACCTCAATCATGTATTTCCCGATACGAAAAATTATTCCATTGATCGAAGAAACTGGAACTCGCTCGCTTGCTGGACCTGCGTACGTCGTCTTTGACTCTACTAAATGTACCTGCACCTCCTGTAATCCTCGTCATATCCATATTCTAATCCTACCCTACACGGACCTTTGTGAATATCCTTATATGTTTTATCCTCATATAGTACCGGTTTCAGCAAAATGCGAACCATTCTCGGCGAGAAATGGGCATCGTTGAGCGTTAGATCCCGGAAATAATGTCGGAGGTGGGCTCAGGCGGCCTTATAGAAAACTTTCTTCGGAAGATTGACAGAGAGCTGTGCGAACTCCTGGAAAAACGGATGAACGCTGACTGACGTTTACGTGTGCCACCGACCGTGTCCATGTTCATGATAAGGGGGTCGTTGTTCTGCTGACTACATGGAAGTGACATAGTGGTAGCTATGTTTACTAGCTTTCAATATGGCTTCCTTGTTTACTCGGTACCTCGGTACCTATTCTGTGATTGATGTCCTCTCTAGAAGTATATAACGCATTCGCTCACAAATGTACTTGAAGTTTCTAATCCTATGTCTCTTAGGCCTAACGCGAGCGAAACACGCAACACTGTCGATGTACTGATCGTAGGTGCAGGACCAGCAGGACTGATGGGAGCATATGCGCTTGCCAAAGCCGGAGTGTGTGTTCGAATTATTGAGAAAAGGTACGAATGAGCTTTTGCATTCGAGTCTACTGTCTAATACCAAGGAAACATTAGAGCTACAAGAGTAGCTGTGGGTCACGCTGACGGGCTCCAGCCACGTACAATGGAAGTTTTCAAGGTATTCAGACCATGTCTTTGGTTCGCCTGTGATTTCCATGATCGTCGTCGAACAGAGCTATGGCTTGCTCGATCGGGTGATGAAAGAGGGCAACCAGCTGCGAACGGCCGTAAGTTTCAGCATACTCAATGAATGTCTTTTCATTGCTCACGTTGACACCACAGGCCTTCTACAATCCAAATCCAAATAAGCCTGGAGAAATACAGGTCAGTGTACTCCATCTCTATAGCCAGTCTCGTATTGACCCCGCGATCGAAACTGAAATTCATAGCTTTCCGAACGTGTACCTTTTTTCAAGCCTAATATGCTTGACCCACGATATGACTTCGGGGTGAAACATTCATGAAAGCGGTATTGTTTACGACACTGATAATTCGCCAGGTCACTTTACATCAAGGCGCAATAGAGCAAATATTCCTGGACAACATGCAGGATATGGATCTCCAAGTTGATCGAAGCACCATACCTATCGCTATTGAGGTCAATGAGAACTCAGTTTCAGACCCGGATGCTCATCCTGTTAAGGCAGGTTTCACTTTCCACTATTTTGAAACTTCGTTAACCCTTGACTTCTAAAGGTGACAATTAAAAACGTAGATTCATCTGAAACGGAAGTAGTTCACGCTAAGTATGTTGTTGGTGCTGACGGTTCGTATGACTATTTCAAAAAATGATTTCTAACCCTTCTAACTCACCTTGCACTTTAGGTGCACATTCCTGGATCCGTCGAAATGTGCAGATTCCCGTGGATGAATCTTCTACACCTTACGTCTGGGGCGTTGTTGACCTAGTTCCCGAGACTGATTTTCCAGATTTTCGAAATTGGGCAGGGATACGTTCTGACAGTGGTTCTTGCATGATTATCCCTCGAGAACGCGACATGATTCGCATATACGTTCAGTTGGAAGGACAGAATGCTATTGATGCCACAAAGGAAGCAGCAGATGGGAGTAAAGTGAAAATGGGCCCGGAATGGATTTTGGATGTAAGTAAATCTGAAGCTTGAGACCATGGAAAAAGACGTACCGACAAGGAAAGCACAGGTTGCGAGAAAGACACTATATCCTTTCACAATTGTCCCTAAATCATTTGAATGGTCTTCAATCTACACGAGTTGAGTTTTTGCTGCTCATTGTGATGTTTCTCTGACATGGTTCGTAGTCGCCCAAGGAGTCGCATCCAGATATTCCGTGCGTGATCGGGTATTCATTGCTGGCGACGCTTGCCATACTCATTCACCCAAAGCCGGTAAGCCCTGATTTAAAGCTTGAATAAAATTACAACTCATTTCAAACAGGACAAGGAATGAATGCAAGTATTAATGATACATATAACCTTGGTAGGCTCTGGTGCTTCCTGGTAGATGGGTATATGTACTGAATTTGCATTTCTTCTGTACAGCATGGAAGCTAGTATGGGTTCTGCGTGGCTGGTCCAATCGCACGCTCTTAAAAACTGTGAGTTGCCACTGTGAATGTCAACTTTGATGTAACTGAAGTCATTGTCCAACCATAGTATGAGTTTGAAAGACGCCAGTACGCACTAGACCTAATTGCCTTCGACAAAAAATTGGCCAAACTCATTTCGGAAAAGACCCACAATGAGTCGAACGTGAATGGTGCCATGCGCACTGCATATATGTCGTGAGCCTGGATTTTACTCAACCATAACATGGATATTATAATCATCGTACAGAATGATTCAAAAGAGTACTGAGTTTTCGAGTGGCATTGGCGTCCACTACTTGCCTTCTGACATCGTCGACATCAAGAATCAAGGCCTAGCCAGCGGTATTGTCATTGGGAAACGAATGCCTCCCGGAACGGTAGTTCGACTGTTGGATTTCTGTCCGATCCATATCCATGATCTCCTACCATCCGACACACGATTCAAGATATTGGTCTTTGCTGGTAATGCGTCGAGCTCTGCTCAACGCATGAGACTTCAGCAGCTTGCAGTAAAGATTGGTAATTTACGCTCCCTGCTAGGCCTGGACATTCTTCCGGGAAATAGCAGTCAAAGCGGGCTTGATGTGCTGACCATACTAAGCACAAAACTAGAGCTGGCATTGTTCAAGGAATTACCCTTAAAGCTGCGATCTCATTGGTCTAAGTGAGCTATCCAATGCTCAATACAAGTCAATACTTATGGGTTTCTAGAGTTTATGTTGACTACATAGATACGAACCCTGGCACAGACCACATTCAAGTTTATCAAAACTACGGTATTGGGGTCGATGGCATCCTGGTTGTAGTTCGTCCAGATGGATATGTCGGTGCAATCGCTACGATTGATGACTTCGAACACATCAAACACTATTTTTCAAGCTTTTTAGAGACACCCAAGTAAAAGTTACAATATGCTCTGAGTCTGTTGTTTAGAAATTCCAGCCTAAATTTGGGCTCTAAGGTAGTTGTGAAGGGGTCAAACTATTATATATAGGGCATAGTCCTTTCCAATCCGCTGAATTAATGACTATTAGTATATACTCATTACTGGGATTGAAATGTAGCAATGCCATACCAGGAATCATGTCATCTTTCTTTGTATCCCGTGTGTCCTCAGCTAAAACGACCGCAAGCCCCAAACTCAAATGAAGATCAATGTGACTAGAGAGGAACATATAATGTTATTCAAAGGAAACCAAACCAAACAAAGCGGCGACAAACCAATGCAAAAACCAGGGTCCAGCATTATCTGTAACAAATCTGATGGTGGTTTGGTTCTTCATGGCCACAAGAGTAGTATCTCGGCGGACCTATGTATAGTAGCCTCAACCTCAGTAGTCTGAGTTTGATTGAAAAAACTTACTGGGTTTTTGAAGTTGTATTCTGAACTATCAGAGGTTCGAACAACATCAAATGCATGCTGAATTTTTATCAATCAGTTCAATTCCCAGCGTAGAGAATTAGTCTGCTTACGCCATGTAAATGGAAGGGATGAGGTCCCGCAGGAGCATCTCCACCAAAAAAGTTAATTTCAATAACCTTATTAGGAGGAAGAGTGTGTACCCCTCCTTTTGGTAGTAAATCCTGTGCGTGGTGTGCCCCACTCAAAATTTGCAACAATACTGGTACAGTAGGTGATTCAAAGACTACACCATTCATCGAGAAGAGCACCATTTCCGCATCGAAGCCGAGGGTGAAGTTCAAGACTAGATCTGCACCACCTGGATAGGGGTTTCCTGGTGCACCTGGGTTCTCTAGGGGATGAAGATCCCCTTCTCGGAAGATCATCACATCGGATGACAGAGGCTGAGATGTCTGAGGTTCTTCCTCAGGTGCACCTACGTACCGAAGGATGGCAGAATTAACACCGTTAGTAAAGTTATGAGCTCCTACACCGGTATTGGACAGTGCTCGGATGCGGTAGTTGGATATTGGTCGGTTGGCGTTGAGAACGAATGAGTACCGTTGAGCAGGGTAGATCTCGATGAAATTGACGGTGTGAGGTAGAGTGTTGATTCCGTCGACCTCGATGATGGTGAGGTTGTGGTTGTCGATGGAGAAGCCGTGGAAGGCATCGAAGGACATGTCAATTAAGCGGAATCGATAACGCTTTCCGTGCTCAACATTGATGACGGTGAGTGGGGTATCAGGCTATATCGTGAAAGTGGTTAGCCATCATGTTCTAAGAAACCTCATGAGCTTAATGTACTCACTCCTCCAACATAACGGCCGTTCCCGTTAATCAGTGTCGCGTCAGCATTTGGTACGACAAGGGCTGCAAGGAGTTGCAAGCTTGTAAGATGGAACCTAGTTGCAAAACCCCGTCGGCGTGATCAGCTTTCCAACTGGCAGGAAAAGGATGGGACAAACCAGTCCGCAATTGTGATAATAGTCGACTCTAGTGATATAGAAAGTTGAGGGTGAAAGATAAGTGGAGACTCGTGGTCGGTGTTCAAGTTTGACTATACCGTCATCAACATCGTACAAGTCTTGATGAGGGTCTTCAGGATCGTAGATGACAATAGGGCCTCTTAGACCGTCGCCATACTACATAATCAAGAAGGAAAATCCATATACGTCAGGTTTGGCTCCTCTCAGTAAACAAAGTACATACGGACCTGTACCGAAAGATGACTATGGTACCAGAAAGTCCCCGCTTGGTCTGGAACTCCAAAGTCATACAAGAATGAATGGTTTGTTGCGATAGGGCATTGCGAGACAAACGCGACTCCGTCTGCATAGTTTGTTGTTTTTTGGAAGAGACCATGCCAATGCTGCGGAAGGACTGATTTAGCACTGATTTCATATACGTGAAGAAAGACACGGCTGGAAGTTGAGTTTGGGGGAAAGGACTTGCAATGCTGGTGCTCCTATCCATCGTTGGGTCTGTGAGTAGATCCGTTACGTTGATCGTGAATCTATCGCCCTAGACATTGGTTAGGTATGATGGGCACTTCAACTTGAAGTACATGTGCAGAATCCACCTTTCGACCGGTAATCAAAGGTCCAGGAAAAGACGCATCCTGTGGCGTTCTACCGGCAAGGACAGTTCTGTCTCAGGATAGAAGGATAGCAAAACGATTGAAACTTAGCAATATATGAAGGGAAAAGAAATAAGAGAGAGCCCACGAGCGCTGAAATCCGTCTGGAGCAATGTCCTTATTGACTATGAAAAGTTGGTCATGGTGATCTATTTTTTCATGCCAAATTTTATCGCGAGGATGGGATTTCACAATTTCGACGCCGCTCACGAGACGGAGGCTCGTAGGTACGCACAAGAGCCAAAATCCAAAGACAACGTTGATAAGAAACATTGCGAGTCTGGATGAGCTTGCAAGCTTGTGCTCTCTTCGAGTAGATGATGCAACAAGAACAGTCCATCGCAAAGTCTTTATATGACCGGCATTTTTACTCTCTGCCTCGTGGCTAGGCAAAACGGCCTTGAGCTTCGAACCCTAGTTCCAACAAGGCTTACTTACGCTTCCTTACGATGTAGAATCATCTTCATCAGTATTGAAGCGTCTGTATTCTACAGGATGGGACAAAGGACTACCTCGGCTCTTGTGAAGCCTGAGACATTTGTGCGTCGGAAGGCAAGTCGGAAGAGACTAGAAGGACCGGGCTCGTAGTGTGCAAGTGCGTAAAGATAGGACGAGGATTTCGGATGCAATTGAATGGATGGATCAAGAGGTACGACTGTAGTAGGATGTACCTTTTCAGGTACCCTGTGTGATGTGGTACGGATTCGGCGAGTAAAGGAGACTAAGTGATCACCGCGCTCTCAGTGTGACGTGTGCAACACCTCGACTCGGAAGAGGGCGGAAATAGAATCTCAGAATGCCGATTGCAGAACGGAGAGTTCAGAGTGATGCGGCGATTGTAGGTCAAACGGAATCGGCCACAGTTGTAGTTACGAACAGAGCAATTTTGCTGTCCACGAACGATATTCATGGCTTTGCATAGAAGTCCTGCCTCGTTATAATTGACTTTTGTTCCTAGAATCAGCTTGTCCTGACTCCCTGATATGAAAGTAAGACTCGGAAGATACCAGAACTGAAAAGGTATCGAATTACCTGCATACCAAAGTTCAGGTCGAGATTGACCTTTAGGGCCTCGGCGACGGTACTATAAAACAACCACGAGCTTTCCACAAGGTGCACGGCGGAGAAATGAGTGAGTAATAAAGGAAGTGGATTATATCAAAGTTTATGAAAATGTCGTACGCGGCCTTGAGTTGCACGCAGGACGGCCGAAAATGGCGATTGACGTTGGAAGATCACCTGAATCGTGAAGCAATAAAAGCTGTAAAATTGCACCTCGTCGGATAATGTTACAGGTAGAAATTCGATCCAGAACTCGGAGAGGCAAGATAGGGCAAGATTGAAGCCGGTATGACGGATTCCGGTCGGTCTCGGATTCCGGACATTCCGATCCCAGCTCGCAGACTCTCTCTCAAAACTCAGCGCCTTTCATCATCCCAATAAGCTACTCGTCTGTTTTTGTTCCGCCAGCTGACTAGTCTACTCAAGTCATTCTTCGAACTCTCCGCCAATGACTACCTACTGGAAATTATCAGGAAATTGCTAGGAGTTGCGCATGGCAGTGAAAGAATAAAGCCACCGCGCAAATACTGTCTCGGGAAATTCCTTGGCAAAATTGGGGTATCACGGGTTGGCCCACGAATTATGCTGGAACACAAATCTCTGTCAGAGACATAGAGAACCACTATAAAGCTGAAGCTTCAATGGCAGCTGCTTTCTACTCCGACGTTGAATCCGACTAGTAATGATATATATAAATCAGTGCCAAAATGCTTGCAGGATACAGACGCTGTAAAGACCTTACCTTGAGAGAGGGGACAACTCCTGGCTGGAAAGAGTTCACTCAGGATACCTGGCGTAAAATTGACATCGCGGGATGCATATGGGCTGGGTGCAGTAGCCGGAACCTTGAAGGATCATAGATCCCGAGTATCCAAGTTGCCTAAGGGTTGGATATATTCAAGAAGACGAAGGTCATACTGAAAAAGTGGTCGCGTTTATTGCAGGCATTAGTCCTGAGTCATTATTATAAGTTAGATTATATGAAGGACTCGGAAGACGGTAGTATCTGCAGCCCCCCTGTAGATAACCTACAACCAGTCTACAAACCGAGACTATCTGTCCCGTCGACATTTCAGATCCACTTTCAGATGCCAGTAGCCCAAATAGTGGTATGATGTTGTTGAGGGTGGAATGACCCAAGGTTGAAATTCAAAATTGAGCGATGGATCAAGAAAGTGGTACAAATAGGTGGACGAGATGAAGAAGTGCAATTAAATGTCACAAACAAGCTCAAAGACCGAAACCGGTGTGACGTAATTGGCTCCGTCGTTAATTTCGTGTACAGGTGACTGCTCTCTGCAATGGTCACATAAAATCACTGCTCGCCACCTCCTGTCTGCCACCGATGCCACCGAAATGCACAGCCGCTAAGACTTCGTTGTCGTGGACTCTTTCAGGCCATAAATTTAGCGCAAGTGTGATATCTTGGAAAGCAGTGTCTATCTCTTGAAGCACAGTGGTGCAAACAGGTGGATGTCTTGAGAAGGTCGGCTGAGGTACGTGTCAAACCATCCAATTTGGTTTCCTCAAAATTGATCCATTCATATTTGCAGATTGGACGGTACCGATATCGTTCAAGTGTCCCATGCAAACAAAACGGATAGAGTTTTTCCTATGATCTGTGCATCAAAAATCTGGCAATGTCGGCGCTGTGTACTGCGAGATTCTGCAGGACTATGCGTTGTCTGATAATTCTCGTCACGTCGGTGGTTCCATTCCATCTATGTTTCGACTCTCATCCGAGTCGTTTGCTTTGTTTGAGCCCCATCGATTGCCATCAAATGCTGTGTCCTACTTGTTCTATCTCCTTCCCCGACGGGTGGACAGATGCAGAGGATAGGATAGGATCAGAGTAAATGAGTTTCGGGTGTTCAAGGCTGTTTTCGGTCCTAAGGACTGAGATTTCAAATCATATCCGATCTTAGTTTGACGCGATGGGGATCGAATGAAAGGAAAGGAAAACCGACACGAAGAGAGTCGGTATGGAAAATATGGAATGAGACCGATGAGAAGGGTTGACTCTGGTTGACATCAAAAAATACCCAATCCTTGGCTTATGTACGTTTCTACCTTTGTGGCATGACTTGTTGCTCCTGCTCGTCGGTATTGGAATTTCTCCTATTTGCTGTGCACAGGAAGCAATTCATCCTATCGCGCAGATTATCCGATTCAGGACATATAAAAAGGAACTCCAACACGAATAGGCGATCCCCGCGCTGGTCGCTCCTACCACATACATTTCTCTTCCCCGCTTTGTGAGTGATTTCTCTCTTCTTCAGTAATCCTGCTCTACAACTTACTGTGCTCTGGTATTCCCCGCATTTGTGGTTGTTCAGTTATTTGTAGGTTCACATAAATCTTCGAAGAATCAATATGCTGTGCGGAAGTTTCTTGTGTTCCCTATGTTTATGCGTGCTTTTGGCTTTCTCCGCCGCCGAGGCAATCCCTCTATCCCAGGACCGTACTGGATTAATGTCCCCGGATCATGTAAGTTGTTCTAACAAAATTGACCATTTTTCTGACTGTCCTTGTCCACTCCAGTCTACGTTTCTCGCCAGGAATGAACCTAGAGGAGCATACCAGTCATCGTCAAATCCAACGCCTCGAGCCTTATCTGAACCGATCATGCTGTACTATTTCACATGTGGACCCACAGTCACTTTGTTTGCCCAGGGACATAGTCTAAAAGATGTGTACCGGCCTGTATTGGGAAAAAGCAAGTGTCATGCGCTTTGCCTCTTGATGACTCGAAGACTCACATGCTCATCATGTGTAGGAAAGCTGCTAATGTTTCCTGACCAGGGTATTGGTTCGTTCGCACCCCGGAGGTGCAAAGACAATAACTTTGCTGTTGTTGGTGAGTCTTCCTTCCTTATTACACCGTCCTTCCTCCATCTAGCGGGTCACGAGTATGTTGAACTTATACTCGAATACTACAGAATTCGAACTCGATACAAGCAAAGGGCTGATGTAAGTCTTCGAAGCTTTCTAATGTTTCCAAGTATTCACTTCTACTCATCGCAGCGTGCAGGACAAGAGAAGTATGAGAAGCTCGAGTTCGAGCCTTTTCAGCCTTGGTCGAGGGAAGGTAAGCTGGCCAGGTGAACTGATTCTCGTGCCATCTCAACCTTTTGTTTCTATACAGTCAGATGTCATTCTATCGTAAGCATATCCTTACCTTGCTCTTGTCCAAAATCTCATCGAATCCAACCGAAGTCCCACAATGAAGTCGAATGCCATGGCTACACTGGGTCACTGACAAAGGTGTGCAATAATTCTTTACACCTTGATTTCTGTCGGTGCAAATACTAATCGTATTCGTGATCACTCTGCTTTGATAGCTGCTCAACTACCCGCTTTAAAATATGTATCTTATAAGATAAGTACATCGGCAGATGGCGCTTGGACTGAAATGAAGAATGCAAAACGAGGGAAGGGACGGATGATTATAGATTAGTTTGGTTTTGCCCCAGGTGCTTAACATACGAGCATGCATAGTCCATACTCAGAAGGGTAGTGCGAGGGGTTAGAGGGAGGCAGGTAGCTGTTCTAGTGAGGAACATTTTCTACGTTTGAATGTTTAGTCGTGCCACTCGAGGACCTCTTCTCAGGTATATAGTACTTCTTACACTTGACTATCAACTATGTTAGAGGGTTTTATTATGGTCTGGCCCGAGTTAATGCAGATAACAGTGTTCTGTCCACTATATGACAACTTGAAGAATGAAAGAACAACGTGTTGACGATTTGATCATTTGGATTACCTATCTGCGGCTTTCTTTGTTCTTTGTTATAAACGCGACGGGCAAGTGGCATCTAGCATCTTTCCTCTCTACAGTCATCTTTTGGGACCATATCGTGTACGTGTTTTTTTCTGATCCCTAGTGCAATGCCTAATCATCACAATTCATCACGTAGGTACAATATCCTTCATGGTAAACTATGAGTCGGAGTGCCCACAATGTGGCTATTCCTCCAAAACCAAACTTCCTCCCATCTCGTCCAATAGTCCCCGTATCGCCGAGTTATGCCGCACAAACAATCGTCCCACTCCAGAAGAAGAAAAGGAACTTAGATCCTTCGTTGAGGAAGGGCAATCTGTCCTCAATCATATCGAAACTCGAATTGCTTTGATGAAGGCCTCACTGCAGGCCCTCGAAAATGCCAGAGACCTCCTTCGACCCGTAGTCATGCAGTACAAAGCGTCTCTCAATCCGATAAGGCGCCTGCCCTCTGACATATTGGGACGCATCTTCTTCTATGGTGTGGGTTATGATAAAGATCCCGAGGAGTATTTCGACTTTGCTTCACAATCTTTGGACTTAAATTCGCCTCCGTGGGTATATGGACGCGTCTGTCATCGATGGAAGGATATCATTCACAACACGCCTTTTCTCTGGACACGAGTGAAGATAGAGCTGTGTAAAATACAAACTAAAACTTCCTCTAATTTGCGTATTCCTTTGACGCTCTCGCTCATGTCAATCTACTTTCGACGTTCAAAGGCGCTTCCACTCATTATCTACCTCGATATGTCCTCCGATGAGTCATCGCTCTCTGTTTCTAATCACATCATTTATATCTCCAACCTTATCCTCACACACTCTTGGCGATGGGAGCTGTTGGTTCTTTCTGGAGGGCAAGGAATTGGTCCTGCTGCGATTTCCGAGGACACCTTCTCATCATTGGAGCGGATAGAGATCCGGGAGTCGAATTCACCAAGTACTTCAAGCTCGTTGGATATCGTAGCGCCGAAATTGAGGGCATGGTCAACAGTGGGAAATACATGGTCAAATCCTGTCAAAACTATGCCGCCGAGCTCGTTCTATCACCAAATCACAGAATATTCTATTTCAGCAGTAGCGTCCAGCGAGGTTCTGAAAGCTATTTCACAGCTTCCAAATCTCCGTAAACTCTCCGTGCGGTGTCTTTTGGTTGGCGATGATTCTCAAAGATCAAAGGTTGTCCTCTACCTTCCCAAACTCGAGGAGTTTTCCATTGAACAGAGGAATCCGCTTGCGCTTTATCCTGCTCTCGTGGATCTTCTAGACTCACTTTCTTGTCCAGCACTCATCCGTCTTACCGTCATTGCCTCTGGAATCGTCAGTGACGCAGTCAAACGATTCGAAGAGCGGTCAAATTTCCAACTTCAACATCTAGTTGTCGGGAAAGATGCGGAAAAATTTGTGAACGGCCTGTTGAACTCACTTGTGCTCCGACGTATACTGATTAGGGGTGATCACTCTCCCTCGTCCGTGCTCTTGGTGCTTCATGAAATTTTCGGAATGTATTCCCACAAGGCTCCACTGCCGAACCTTCGTGAATTGCAGTTCCATTGGAATCCATCCTTACCTCTTGTAGATTTTGATATAATGGGCACGCTCTATTTTTGTGTTCACTCTCGAATGAAGTGCTCAAACGCACTGGGAGTAAAACCGCTCAGTGTATTCATCACAGCACCTGATGAACAAGCAAGGAGGATGCTTAGCCACCCACAATTGAGGGACATTCATTCAATGGGAGCGACGGTCGATATCATAGCTATATGACCCTACGACCCGCAGCTCTACCACCATGCAGGGACCCAGTCAAGGTGTACCCATATCAGAAGAATGGAGAAAGGCAACAGACGAGGATATTACTTATTTGTTTCCATGACTCCCCGCGCCTTAGTACTTAGACTTACTTACTTGCGGTTAATGAAGAGTTTTTTTAAAAAAAAAAATCATAGCTATATGAATTCAGTACTTGTACGCATACTATATTGTGAGAACATACACTGATTCTGTGGAATTCAGTAGTTCTTTCGAAATGGAAAAATATCTGCACTGATACTTGTACATTTATCTCGCTTTTAGCACAGGATATGCTTCTCGCAGACCTACAGTAGAAAATGAAAGAGAGGTTCTCACCGGGGGAAGAGAAAAGTCATACATACCACGTAAAACCAAGTGAGTAATATAGTCTGAAGTAATCATTTATTTCGTACATTTCTCGACCCATAAAATGATTGAGATCTGATTATTTTTAGGATATGGGACGTATCTAGAGGCGAAATCATGTCATTTTGCTGTCTCAATGGCTCGATTCAAGATCTGAACACCGTATAGTCAGGAAATGCTCAATCCGGCAGGTGCGACACTCATCTTCCTGAACCACAATATCACATCGTGTGTATGTACGTGTTCTAACTCCCCCTGCATTGTTTGATAAATTTCCAGTATTTTCCATGATGGACACAGAGGAGTCGGCGTGTCCTCAATGCGGCTATTTCTCCAAACGCAAACTCCCTGTTTCTCCATCTGACAGCTCCCGTATCGCCGAGCTATGTTCCACAAGCCAATGTCCCACTGTGGAAGAAGAGAAGAGTTTCCAATCTTTTGTAGGGGAAGGGCAATCTTTCCTTAACGATCTCGATACTCGTATTGCTTTGATGAAAACTTCAATACAGGCGCTCGAAAATACCAGAGAACTCCTCAAACCCGTGGTCATGCAGTACAAAGAGTCTCTCAATCCGATAAGACGAGTGCCTTCTGATGTATGGGGACATATTTTCTTCTACGGTGCAGGTTACGATAAAGACCACGAGGAGTATTTCGACTCTGCTTCACATTCTTTGGACCTCAATTCGCCGCCGTGGGTCTATGGACGTGTATGTCGTCAATGGAAGGATATTATTCACAATATGCCTTCCCTCTGGACACGAGTGAAGATAAAGCTGCATAAAATGCAAACCAGTGATTCGCATATCCCTATGGTGCTCCTGCTCATTTCAATCTACTTTCGACATTCGAAGACGCTTCCACTCATCGTCTACCTCGATATGTCCTCTCCCGAGTCATCACCCTCTATCTCTGACTTCATCACTGACATCTCCAACGTTGTCCTCACACACTCTTGGCGTTGGAAGTTGTTGGTTCTTGCAGGAGGACAAGGAACTGGTGCTACCTCGGTTTCGGAAGATGACTTCATATCGTTGGAGCGAATAGAGATCCGGGAGTCAGATTCACGAGATGGTCCTACAAGCTCGTTGGAGATTGTAGCGCCCAAGTTGAGAGCATGGTCCACAGTGGGAAGTTGCTGGTCGAACTCTGTAAAAATTATGCCCACGAGCTCGCTTTTCCATCAGATTACAAACTACAGCATTTCAGCAGTAGCGTCCAGCGAGGTCTTGAAGATTATTCCGCAGTTTCCAAATCTTCGCAAACTCTCGGTACGGGGTCTCTTGGTTGGTAATGATCGCCCACGTTCTGAGGTTATTCTTTGCCTCCCCAACCTCGGCGAGTTTTCAATAGAACAGTACAATCCTCTTACGGCCTTTCCTGCTCTCACGGCACTTCTGGACTCACTTTCTTGTCCAGTGCTCACACACCTGACTGTGATCGCCTCTGGAATTATCAGCGATGCAGTGAAACGATTTGAAATGCGATCGAAGTTCCAATTGGAACATTTGATCGTCGGGAGAGATGCGGGAAAATTCGTGAAAGGCCTTTTGAATCCCCTTGTACTCCGAAGTATTGCCATCAGAGGTGATCACTCTTTCTCATCTGTTCATCTAGTGCTTTCGGAAATCACTGGAACGGATGCTCAAACACCTTCCTTTCCGGACCTTCGTGAATTGCAATTCTACTGGAATCAATCCTTATCGATGTCCCCGGTGGACTTCAAGATAATGGATATGGTATATGCTTGTGTCAACTCTCGAATCCAGCGCTCAAACGCTACGGGAGTAGCATCACTCAAAATGCTTATCACAGCATCCGATGAACAAGCGAGGAAGATGCTTGACCACCCACTATGGAGGGACCTACGTTCCAAAGGAGCCGCCATTGATATCATAGCTCTATGAATTGGACCACTTGTGCTACATGATTTGGATAATCGAAATTTGACGTGTACGATACTTGGGATTGAGAGCAATCTACTATTCTGTATTCAATGAAGCTCTCATTTTAGGAAGAATAATGTGTTATTGTGAAGCACGAGCGATAGGGACAAGGACAAGGACATTGAGTCGGCTCAAATAGTGCTCATATACATTAACACTCCGAATGACTGCATCCTGAAGACATCAATTCAACATCACACTATCTCTGGTGTCTTCGCAATGCTGAAAATTTCGTGATAGAACAACAAGAAGGTTTTGAAGAGATTATGTTTCACAAGCTATTGAGGGCATTTACCACTGAGGAATATTGGACAGCACTGTGTGTAGGAGATTATTGAGAATGATGAATCTTCGAAAATGAAACCGACCCACAAGGATTCTTACAGAGGAGAGAGAGAGAGCGAGGTATCCCCGTGTCAAGATGAAAGTGCGATTGTAACCTGGAAATTGTGGTGAGACATTGGTCAAGATTGAACGGATTAAACATTTCAGCGCGTGAGCTTGCTCGAGAAACTTCAGGATGGAACCAGGATGGAATTACTGCCAGATCGAACGAATTTGCTCAAGAGACCACGCCATCTGAAGAACGACGTGAGCTGCAAAGGGCTGGATATCGGAACCACACAAGATGGTAGAAAAGTAGTATCCGTATGGGTCTGACATTGATTCAATAAGAACGGATGGGAGAAGTCAATCCTGGAGCCATTATGAGCTACATTCATAGACGGATCAGTACGTACGACCCATAGAATGCGACAACGGAGACGTACATGCAGCAACAGCCCATCATCAATCTATCGACCAAGGATACCCGTCCCAGCCTAATTCCATCATATAACGACCCATTCAGTGGTAGGAAAATAGCGGCATATCTCTCAGGCGTGATACTTTCAAAGACTTCAAGCTACTTCAAGTGAATGTTTTGACCAAGCTCGCGAGCAATGTGGAAGCACGGGATTCGGGACATTTTTAAGATACTCAGAATCCGTTCGGTATAAACAAATTCCACTGAATTATCGAGATAAGAAGACGAGAGGAAGAAGTAGCTGGGCTTAGCTGGGATTGCATAATTTGATGTCAATAGCCTGAGTACGAGTTGACTGAAAAAACTCATATGAAGATCAAAAAGACGGACCTATTGCTGAGTTCTTGATCTTCCTCTTCCGTATTCACCATGCTAAAAGGTCATTAAAGGCAGGAAAAAACATTTAAACAGTCCGATAACTGACACGATGATGAGTGTCGCCGTAGGAAGAGAAAAGACGCCAGAATATGTTGCTGATCATTTTATCTGGAGCTTTGACTTGGAGGCTGTTTTCGTTCATACATTCTCAAAGACTAAAAACAAAACAGAAGAAAAAGGTGTCCCTGCCAGGAGTCGAGCCTGGGTCTCCACGGATGCGTTCAAATACCACAACGTGATGATCTAACCACTAATCTACGGGGACCTGGAAGGTTAAACGGATTAGGTAATCAGATGCCGGTTTTGCACCGCATTCCAGCGCATTCTACCTTTTGAGTTCCTTTCCTGATTTCAAAACCCTTGTGCAGCAAGCAACTGGCCAAAATTGATAGTGCTAGGGTGACCTTGATGTCTGGGGAGCGAGGTGATACTGTGGATGTCAGAGTTGTGTTAAGTAGCACCTAATGGAAGCAGGTAATGCCAGGTATACCATATATGTACGCTGGAGATTCCTCGCGAGACAGTATTGTATGAAACGTCTCTTATTTATCACACAAAATGGACAAATCCGGATTTGAACCGGAGACCTTTCACATTAATATTGCTACACCCACAAGCAGGCAAAGCAACTTACACAACAGGTATATTTTCAGGAGCTTCTCATTTAGTCAATCAACAGCTGATTCACGGAGTATTCTGAAAGACAATGATACACATAGGACACAAGACAAAACTATCACTGCAGGAAGGCTGGGGAGATCGAGATAAGCCTGAGTCTAGTTGAACTGGGAGTGTTCTGGAATAGCAAATAATTGGTAAGACATACATAAACAGGAACTTGAATCTTTGTCACTGAGTTCTCCATTCTTAACACTTCTTGTAACTCTAGATTTATATGGAACACTTCTTCTAAGCAGCCATTCACTTAAATCATTCCTTGGCACTCATATGTATATCATCCACTGTGTGGTAGTACATCTATCCATTGTCCAGGCTTCAAAAAATCTGTCAGCAATGATTTACTATACCATGGATGTCTACTAGCACTATGGGACTGATACCACAACAAATTGGCTCTCAAATTGATCAGAGTTTATAATTTTTGAGTGAGTTGTAAGTATGAGTCATAGTATCAGCATGTAGTACATCTTCAAAACCTGTATACTTGCCAGAGCAGCACTCTCCAGCCAAAATCCTTGTTCTGGCGAGTATACAGGTTTTGCAAACTGATCAGTCTATACATTACACTGGCCTAAATTTTGCAATCACATTCAAGGTTGAGTGTTGAAAACGAAGTCCTACAACTCGAAGTATTCGGACAGAAAGCAATGCATTGATTGAAGCATGAGAAGAGACAATAACTAACAAAAATGGAACGACTAAGTGGGAGTCTCAGCACGAGCTCTTAAGAGCAGATGTACCAAGAGAGAGTTGGTCCGAGTTGGATTAGAATGACCAACTGGGGACTTACAACTCAGACGACTTAGTTCTCTATCACATAACATCTTTCATCATGTCAAATCCCGGAGCGAGCCATTCCAGTCAGCCACAAAGGATAGATAATCCGACAAAACATTTGTTGTTCTGAGTCTCACTGAAAAACAAAGTCGTGATGCTTGGAGGACGGTGGGCTGGAAAGAATTTTCATACATTGAGGATATGAGTAAAGCATATGATCAAGGCTTTCACAGAAATTTGCAGGGTGCAACACAATGTATCATGGAAAGTTGAAACAAAAGACCTAATTCGCTCAAATTTCGGAACCTTGAGAGCGTAGGTATTACAGACATATGATTGAGCAGTGGACCAATCGAAATCATGTGTAATTCCGGGGGGGCGGAGTATAATGAGTTAAATCTGCGAGCAATGGCATCTTGTCAACGATATTCCATTTTTCTGTCGAAATTTCCAATTTGGCATCACAAACTGTTGTAATCATCGAAAAAAGTTAGTAAAATTGAATGAAATGTATTCAAATAATTTCCATTCACTTTTGTTGCCTTCGTCAAATGGAAGACACATTATTTCAAAAAGGTCCTCTCTTGCTAGAGTTTCAGCAGAAATCCATATCTTGTCTCCTGGATGAACAATCACAGTTCTAAGACTTGTTTCATCTTCTATAGATTCAATCTGAATGCAGGTTAGTACTAAATATAATGCGCAGGAAGTCCTCGTACCTTTTCAAGTTCATTGAATTTCTCTTCCTCAGCCTTAAGGACACACTGTTTGACCAGGAGAGTGAGATTCGAAAAAGAAATTGGTATAAGGAAAATGTCTTTATCTTACCAGTCGGTTTGAGCTATCATATTAAGAATGAGAGGATCATCATATGGATTCGTCGATCGGTTTTCATGAGTGTAACAACGACTTACGGTCCTTTGAACCCTGACTGGTCTGCTTTGAGAGCGCACACAAATTCCTTTTTCCCATGAAGCTGTATATCCGCGCCTGTCAACTTTGAGTTGTTTAGATTCCTCATAGACGCCTGGACAACATCAATACCTGACCGCAAGATAAATATAAGAACTTACATCGTTCAGGGTGAAGAAACATATACTTCCTTCTGGTATAGAAGGGGGGAAAGCCTGCGGATAAGACAGCCCACGAAATCTAAGCTGGTTGATTGGAAATGCATGCAAACTCTGAACAAGCAAAGGAAGAATGACAGAGATGGAATAGCGCATCGCGTAGGGAGTATAGGTTTGTGGATGGCACAAGAGATGTTTGATATGAAGATGAAGATTGTGGTAAACGGCGCAACGAGAAGACCAGCTTTAGTCGAAGCAAGAGAATAACGCACCAGGCGAAGAAAGAAAAGATTTCGGTTCATTCGAGCCTTTTATGCAGAATACACGTGACTGCGGCTGAAATGCCGCCTTCTTAGGCCTTCTTCTTACCGAACAAGATGACGATGGATCGAGCTCGGGTACTGATACTAAGAGGAAAGGTATTGAAAAACCAGAGGTTTGTTTATTGATTGAAAAGAGTCAGAATTGTAAGACTGTAGGTATAGTATTGCCTCACTTGGTCTCACTACTGAAATAGGAAGATAAATTCAAGCAGGTCGGTGCTCACATGTGCTCATCGACATCGTATATACCAAAGTAAAGCGTAATCTGACGCTGAATTCAATTACCCGGATCTGAATGCGAGTCTACATTGTAACTAAAATCACCCACTGGATCCAAATCCAAATCCTGGAGAGGTGCCCTGTAACCACCTGTATCTGAATGCGCACTGGAAGTACTGTCAGTGTTTCTGGTAATCTTCCAATCATCCATTGGGATTGTCAACTCTTCAATGGAAACTATGGAAAACATGGCATAGATAAATAAATCATCAGAGAATGAACTCCACTGTGATTCAGAAAATTTTTGAATTACTCACCATCCTTTTGTGGAAGACATTCTATCTTCCAAGCTAATTTCTTTACAAGAAGGGTCTTGGGGTGAATCCACATCGATCGTTCTGGAGAGACTATCATAGATTCGCGGGTTGCTGTTGGGCCATCTTTCACAAAGGAAATCTGAACATGGTCCAGTGGGGAAGGGTTACGAGCTACTGAGCAAAAACACTTGTCACAAATTGAATGTTATCCATACCTTTTTGAAATCTCGAAACTCCTCCAGGTTAGCCTTGAGGACACACTGTTTAATGTTGTGAAAAAATTACTTGAGTGAATGATGGGTATACCGTCGAAAATTTCCTCTTACCAACCGATCCAGCCTATCAGAAGAGAGAACAGAGAATGTCATAACCAAGCATAGTTCATGAGCGCAGGTTCTACCTGTCACTCACTTGATTCTTTCCAAATATCTTGTGCTCAGTGCGCATTCAAACGGCCTTCCCTCGTGGAGTTGTATATCTTCGGCTTTGAATTTCAACCTGCGATCCGGATTCTTATGGTAGACAGATTCCTGAAACTCATCATTAACACCGGCGACAATGGTTAACCCAATACAAGAAACATATGAGTATACTGTATATGTGTACAATGAGGCGATGAATATCGGAACTTACATAGGTCACAGCAAAAAAACATACACTTCCTTTCGGTAATGAAGGAGGAAATTCTTGAGGATACTGGAGTCCACGACCTCCGATCTCGGGAATCGGTGATGCATAGCAAGGCCTTGCAAGATCCGGGACAGCCGCCGAGAGAACAAGAAGGATGGAGAAGATTATCATGGTGTAGACGATACGACAAATTGTCGGGAGACAAAGAATAAGTTCAGGACCGAATTCGACAAGGCGCAAGGAGAGTCCAGCTCTCCTGTTCAATGAGAATGTAATAAAGCAACAGCGCGATCGAGGGAATAAGATTTCACGGTTGCCTTTAAATAACTATTCCAAGACAAGGCTGTTCCGTATCAGAAATAAATGCCGCATCATCATGGCTTACCAACGGTCAATGGAAGAACAAAACGGAGAACAGCTTCGACTGTTCAAGCATGGCAATTGTGGCAAAAGGTACAGGAGGAGATCGTTAGGAATGGAATATGGGATCGAGGTAAATCACGGAGAGCAGAGAGAGGGGAAACGTGGATGAACACACTGGCGTTGATCTGGTTTTACAGTACACGTGCATGCGGTAGTAAAATCTACATCTCGGTCGATGTGATTAGAATGATAGGTGTCGCTAACATCGCCAAGACTCCGGGAATTTATAGAATGGTTTGAGCTTGGAGTGAATGAAGGGTATCAGGCATGAAGGAATAGACTATACTTGAGAATGGGTCGGATTGGGATAAGAGCTCACAACCATTAGGACTTGCTCGGATAGTTTTGAGCCTCGAGCTCGGGGGCTCAACGGTTCATAGCTCAGTCTTTAGCTTTTCTTCAGCGCCTATCATGTCAAAATATGATAGCTTGATATCACCCAGTCCCTCCAGGTCACTCCTTGTGTATTGTTATCGCTTGACGCGGTAGAGTGATCAAACTGGATAGTTAACATGCGATCTTTGTGAACTGCTCTGGTCATACGTTGAATGCGGTGTTCTGGAGCATTCTCAAACGGACAATCCCAGGGACGAGGAATCCAAATCCCAACATATCCTTCGCAGCAGGAAAGGACGAGAATGGTCCAATAAGTGTCGGTGAAAGGGGAGGAGCGTATGCATAGAAAGCATGAACTTTCGATGTTGTCGTCGATGGAAGGACAGACTTTATCAATATAGTTGCCCAGTTATCGTAGGCTTGCATTACGATGAGAGACTTTACAAAAAATCATTAGTGCGAAAGATGGGCTTGAAAAAGAGATTCCAATGCGGGGAATCGAACCCCGGGCTGCTGTGCAACTTAATGAAAGACAGCAATGTTGGCCACTACACCACATTGGACACAAGTTTGGGGAGACATGAACTCGATAGATTGTACTACACGAAGGGAATCGCTCGTCTTGCAGCAAAGAAACATGTCGACCACAGCAAAACCTACGTCAGTAACAGCAGAACGATCGAAGAGTGAGACACGTACTTCATTTCACAGTGAATTCGAGCTCAACAGCGACTCAACGACTATCATGTCTTCAAGCAATCCTTCCCCCGTGGTACACGCAGTGTAGGAGCTTGCGTTTCGCCGGCTGTGAAGGTTGGCTAAGACGGGAAGAGATATTGAATGAAATTCCGAAATCTTCTGAAGTTCAGGTTCAGGAACTGAGCAGAACTGAGCGGACTCGGATGATGGCAGTACTCTGGATGCCCCAATGAATCACAGGTCAGTGTACAGTATATTCGAGGGCTATCAAGGAAGCGTTCTAAATATCTGTGAAATCGGAACCCGTTTGGAGACCTAAACTATTGGAAGATTGAAAAGTTGGAAAAAGGGAGAAATTTCGGAACGGTGCCCAGAAAGGTGACCGGACTCCTTAGTGCCTTGCCCACGCTCCCACCTCGGTTTGTTTCAACCGACTCGCGTTCTCCTCAAAGTGCTTCTGCCAGCTTCTTCCATGTCTCAAGAGGTTTACTGAACGCTCCTTAAAGTCGTTGTTTTGACTTGAATGCTCTTCCGAATACCCTACCTCCACCGAGAACGGTGCTTACAATGCAATCGATACCCACAAATTAGTATCGACTGTATGCCTCCAAAAGATGGGATCAGGATAGAATAGCATGTATGTGACCTATCTAAACTCTAGATAAACCCTCATGGTCCATTGTTTTATGTCTAGTCATTCCGTCCCCCGAGTATGGCAAAAACTGCGTCAGTTAGCACCTTCCGCTTCCTCCCTTTCACCCTTCTTCTTCTTCTCCCTGGGCTCTTCCGGCTCTCCGCTGCAATATACACGCCAATTCGTGAATACTCCGGTAACGAATTCTTTTCAGAGTGGGATTATTACGGAGATATCGATAATACGACTTGGGGTGCGTTATTAGGCTTTGATTATTTTGTGGCGCGGTACTTACTCGTATCGTGTCTTCGTTCACAGGTAACGTGGACTACGTCGATCAAAGCACTGGAGCCTCGCAGCGGCTGACTTACATCGACCCAAACACCAACCATGCGATAATACGGGTGGATAATACGACGAATATAACGGCTGCTGCGACGGTGAACAGGAATTCGGTATGTTTATTCAATCTTTGTGTTGAACATCGTACTCACGGGCTCCCTAAAGGTCAAGATCACTACAAAGGACGCCTATCCTATCGGCAGTCTCGTCATTATTGACACCTGGCACATACCCTACGGCTGTTCCGTATGTTGTTGTATTCATTCTAACCATACCCTTGTCTAATTTCTCTACCCTCCAGGTCTGGCCTTCATTCTGGATGCTCGGCACCAACCTCCTCTGGCCGAATTCCGGCGAAATCGACATCATCGAAGCCATCAACAACCTCGATTCAAACCAATACGCCCTCCACACCACCTCTGGATGTTTCCTAGGCACGAACTCGATACAATCAGGGAGCATTCTCCAAACGAATTGCTCTACGGGCGCAGGGTGTGTGGTACAAGAAAAGAAACCGAACAGTTTTGGAAGTGGGTTTGCGCAGGCTGGCGGAGGTGTGTTTGCGACGCAGTTGGACGTTAGTGGGATCTATATGTGGTTTTGGCCGGTGAGTCCCGTTGATCGTACTGGCGATATGTTCAACTAATTGGAATTGAACTTGTTCGTTCGGTAGCGCGGGAGTCTCCCGGCATCGATATCTCAGGCCAATAGTTCCTCGACCATGAACCTGGCTGATTGGGGTACACCTACCGCCGCGTATCTATCCAACGCCTGTAATATCACGCAATACTTCCAGCCTCAACAGCTCATTATCGATATCACTCTTTGTGGCGTGTGGTGCGTGGTTTTCTCATCATGTTCTGTGTGAATCACATATCCGGTTGCTCTATTCTTCCAGGGCCGGCGTTCCGTCGATCTATAACTCTACAGGATGTTCGGGACAATGCGTAAGTCTCTTTTATCTTACACCATTGATGTCCTATCCTCCAGCTAAGTTCATCACGTTCTCCTGCATCCAGATTGACAACGTCATCGGCACCGGAAATCCCATTTATAATAACGCATACTGGGATATCGCCTACATACGAACTTACCTCGCTACTGCCACCACAACTGTTACTACGGGGAACACGTCGGTCTCCCCAGCATCATTGACCTCGGCTTCACCAGCATCGGCTTCTACGTCGTCGAGTAGCGGGGCTAACGATGCAAATGCTAACACTGCTACAGCCGCTTCTACACTTGTTCATAGCTTATCGTGGTCATCGTGGTTATGTGTTTTGGTTCTACTTGGTGTCTTGAGGTTCTGTTAATAGGTAGATGGGAAACATTGCTGGTGGTGTTATTTATTATTGACTATCTCTATCTTTGTTGGATGGACTTGAAGTATTTGAGAAGAGTGTGTAGTGAATGCTCCAGCTTCAAAAATATAGTATATATTATTGAAATGGCTTTGCTACAACAATATAAAAGAGCCATCATTGGGACTAAATTGGACCATATACTGTACGCAATGAGATGCTATGGAATGAGAAAAGAAAAATGAGCAGTCTGCCCTTATGAAACATCTATGAAGCACAGTGAATGCTAATGTGAAGATCATGGCTGAATGAATGTGGATTTGTTTCCAAACTTTCAAATTTTATGCCAATCAACACACCAAGCCCTCCTATAATCTCACCAACCCAACAGCCTATACCCCCGCAATGTGTATTGCTGAGAAAAGATCTCTTCATGCATTAACATAGATGTCAATCTTGATGGAATGCCTTTCTCAGCACGTTTCTTAATCCTTAATCTGCTTTCCTCCCACTTTTCAATCTTGCTCTCTCTCTGCGTATTCGATACAAGACTGTTACCCTGCACAATAAAACTCTCAACACCTTTTCACACCCCTTCGGAGCCCCGAATCTCAAGGACATCACCTACATCAACATTCCAACTCGCCACTATTCAACCTCCGCTGGACTTCCGACAAGAGCGCTACTTACTTACCTTATACATTCTTGTCAGTTATCACAAATAGCTTTGGGCCCAATTGTAAACACTGCTACGACTCGGAAGGTGTGTTTTGAAAGATGATCATTATATACTGATCAACAATCACGCTGTGGTCAAATCACTCCACTGACTGTGCTTCTTACCACATCGTGGATGAATGGTTTCTGGTGGAGGTTTGTGCATCCGATGGAGACGAGATGAGCTGCAGTGCACAACTCCATGACCAAAATAAGTAGAGATCAAGATGGGCTACATATAAAAGCCCATTGTTCAATTGCTGTAATTTCGAAGACCTCATAGTGCTGGTGTATATTTTCTTTCCATGATGTCTACAGCAGGAATTGCTTCTCCAGATCTTGATCTAACCTTTGGCGCATTGCTCTGTGGATCGTTTATTGTGATCTTATTATTCGGCATCTTCATTGTTCAAGTGTATCTTTACTATAAAGGATATCCCAAGGACAAGCTTCTTCTCAAAATCTTGGTATGCGGCTCATTTGCCAATTGAAATGTCATTAAGTTCAGTTCATATCTAGGTTGCATTTGTGTGGTATGTATCGTCATATAGTAGCACACTTTGCATCAACAATTAACAGTACCTCAATCTATTTCCATAGTATCTGTGAATTGGCTCACACAATATGTGTCACAAGTGGGGTTTATATTATGCTGATCACTTTTTATGGACATCCGGAGATCCTCTCGAAATTTCCGTTGCCATTCGATCTCACAGTTGCATTTGCAGCCCCAGTGACTGCAGTAGTTCAAGTAAGTGGTAATTAAAAGCACGTCCCTGAATTGATATAATTTCACAAAAAGGCCTTTTATATTCTTCGTATCTACAGATTTTTAAATGTTTTGTACATCCCCCTTGTCCTATGGGTTCTGTGCTTCCTTCGTTTTGTCTCCAGCTATGCAGCTGTGGGATTTGTCATTGAGGCGTTTCAGTAACATTGTTCGAATTACAATGGAATTGGCTTTTCACTGTCAATTTTGTAGTGGGTGCATTTGTTGATGTTGCTGTTGCGGGAATTCTGGTTTTTAAACTTTGGAAAGAACGGAGGGAGGCTATGAAAAGGTATATTCAAGATCTGTTGGACAGAAACTTAGTTTGTCTAATCCAATTTCGTCAGCACGGTGAAGCTACTGGATAAACTCATCAGATGGACACTCCGCATGTTTCTTTCTTGTCATAGGTATCAATCTTGCTAATTTAAGCAAATTATAGAAACAGGACTTGTAACTAGGTAAAGTTTGAGACACATTCATGCTGTCAACTTGATCTCATTGTTCCTGCACCAGTGTTGTTGCAGTTCTTGTTGTGATATTTGTATGTTTAGTGTCTGTTCATGACAGCCAGATTTCTCTGATTTTTATTTTTTTCCAGCTGCAAGTAATGGAAAATAATTGTATGACCACACTCAAAATTTTTTCACCATGCATTCATTGACACAAAATAAAGTGATCTGGATAACCACATATACATGTCTTGCAAAAGGTCCTCCATGGTTCTTTATGTTTTATGGAACTAACACTGTTGATTTCAGTATACTCCAACTCACTTATGGCTGGGTAAATACAATATTACTGTGGGGAATATCTGGACTTATCTTTTGCATCAGACTGAATGCTCGCAATAATCTTCGCCACCTGGAAACAGAAACAGAAGCTCAGGTATATGAGCTAGATGTCCATCCTGATGGCACAGATTCTCTGAGGTCCCAAGCTCCCAGGAATAGGGTGTGTGCTACTGAAATAATACACTCCATACTACTTCTGATGTGTGAACCAGGTAATTGGTCCTCATGGACATATCAAATCAGTTGACACGGAATTACAATTTGCTTCAAACCAAACCTCCACAGTCACCAGTGTTTTGGTGTAAAATTTGCTTGAATCATTCTGATTAAACTACAGCTTGTAATACCGATGATGTTGTCCATTAATGAAATCAGTTCCATAGTACGGCAGCAAGTAGTGTGTGATAAGTGAAGTAGGATTTAAGTATAGCTTGGTGAAGAATACAGAAATTAAGCCATATTCAAACAATTCTTGACCTTAATTTGGAATGGCTTAATGAAAAAAGGACCACATCCGACCCAGTTCTCAACACTTCCTCTCACACTTAAAAGCACCATCCGGAAGTCACCGACTGGTTTATATGATTTGAACATCCTCCCTACTAGGGTTCTGCAATGGTGCCAAACTATTGACTTGGTTATCCGACTCGACCTTGAAACATCGTGAACATCGAGTGTTTGAAATTCGAGTCACTACATTTGCAGAGCTCTATGGTGAGAGGACTAGGATGAAGACTTGAAACGATGATGTACGTGACAGACCGCTTACTACTTAGTACTTAAGACCCAAGAGACTCAGAAAGTTGTATATGGGGGATGGGTAACAGGGGGCTGATGGGGATCAGTATTTTTATGTTTCGTTGAAGATGTAGGTAGTGCCGAGAATATGGATAACAGTGTCTACAACCAGCCTTCGAATTCTCGTCTCTTTGCCGGAGGTGTAGGATTGAATGGGAATGAGAGCGAAAACGGGGAACGGATTATGGGTTTTCATTGCTGTTCATCGCGTCATACGTCCAGCAAGCTTAACGCTGATGCAGAAGGTGGAAAAACAACAGTGAGCAATGATTGGTGACTATGATTGCGTTCTTTCTGGATTATCAACGATCATGACATCGTTATCCCGACATGTATCAAGTCTTTTGATCGCCGTTCGTCTCCAACTCGTTCTAGCCTCCAATAACTTGGTTTCTTCAATGAGTCTTTGCTCTCTCATAATTCTGTTTGAGTCGCCATTGTCGTCAGAATCAATAAATCGTCCAACGAATTGGAGTCTTGAACAGAATTGAGTGGCATAGCACAACATATGTACACATTAAGTTGTTATCCGCTGGGATGTAAACTCAAATAATTTATCTTACCCTATGTGCTATGTTTATGACGACCACAATTCATCCCATCATCCACTATAAACTGACATGTCATGTTACTGAATGACAAGTACACTACTGTAAGGAAGGTTGGGAAGGTTGGGGATATTATGATGACCCCATTGCTTTCTTTTGCTCCTCTAACCGTAATTCGACATTCCACTTCCCTCTTCCCACTTGTAACTTTTTCTTATATTCTCCGGGATCCGTCATAGCCATATATGCATTATCCCAAGCATCTCCCTTCCAATCATTCCCCATATGGTCAATATTCCCAGTAAACTTCACTCCATCGTTACTCGCCTTGAAGAAACCCATCAACCTGTTCTGCACATCAAATTTCGTGGACCCTCTGAGTTTCTTGATATCCTCAAACATCTTCTTACGCTCTGAGTTTTTTATGCTGATAAACCCCAAAAGATCCCCCAAACGATATTTTTTATCCTCGATGATTTCAATAGCCCAGATGCCACGTATGAGTTCTTGGGACCTGAGGCCGGGTCCACTGCCAAAAGTAATCTCCCAGTCTTGGTCCTGAGAAAGGACAAATTCTGCGTCGATCTTCTCCCGAACTTTCAACCCTTTGTTTGAACGGTAGAGGTAGACGTTGTGAACAGTTGCTGAATGAAGAGTTTTATATTTTAGCAAAAGCAGTGATTGCTATTTGATAGAAATAAGAACGTACGAGCACGTTGTTCAAGTTGGCCTTTAGAGGAATCATAGGATGTTAGAGGTACGGCGGAGACGACTCCAAGGATAGTGGAAAATAAAGGCAAGAAGAGCGTCAGGAATGAACACGGCAGAAAATTGAGTACAACGAGCATGGTGGAGGCACTGGAAGGATGGGGGTATGGAAAAGTTATTTTGGCACTTCATCATTAACATCGATGAATTAAGCACTACACACCAGTTGGAGACGGTCAAAGATGGCGAATCGGATTATGACAGGAGAATGTCAAACTGAACTATAACGATACCAACAGCATAAGCAGTATAACCCTAAAAGGCGGGAAGATTCAAAAGTGATCTCGACGTACCGACCAGCGTTACTGTTGAAAGTGGGTTTTTTTGCGGGCTTGGCTCGATTTATGGGATCTGCGCAGATATTCGAAGAAGGTACTTATATCACAAAATTTTCGGCGGCCCAGGTGCTCCCAGGTGCCCTGATCGGTACGAGCTCCACTGTTTTAGCCTCGCACAGGTTCAACCGGACCTCTGGCATGAACTTTCGTGATGCACACTGGTTGGGGTGAAACCATAACGCAGCATAGCCTTTCTATGCCTTGTCTCATTTTACATCGAGAAAGGACTGAGGCGGCGGGGGGTAGGATAGGAAGAGAGCAAGAGCAGTAGATGACTGAGCTGGAGAGGAGGGCTTTGAAAGATCAAATTTAATGGAAATCGTTCTTCTCACCCGTTGTTCCGCAACGCTTTTGATATTCGACCGTACCCCCATAGCTATACCCATCGGACATTCCTCGAACGCAACACGGGAAAAGCCCGACGCACGAATTTGATCCGTTCCTTTCACTGTCAAAGCCATTGGCAACAAATTGGGAAGAGATGTTGAAGGCATGGGTTGTGATAAGAGCAAGGATATGTCATACGTGGAGGGTAAGTCTTCTAAGTTCTGAAGTCTCTTACATGATTCGTGGAATATTGAGCAGTCTATTTGTAAGCGCAGGTTTTGACAGCTGAATCCGAGAGGACACTATAGCACGAGCACAGAGATGAAAGTCGAACGCACCAGCTGATGTTGATGATGAGCTACCGTATACCGATGGGATAAGCCAGGTACAACTAGCTGGTCGCCGCAGCTCCCCGCGCCTTAGCACTTAGCCTTACTTGCGGTTAATGAATGATTCAAAAAACAGTGTGAACGTCGTGATGTCGAGCAATTGGCAGGGGAGTCACTTCTGAATTGTATGTTAAAAATCATTGAATTATTGAATACTATCTCGTAGTGTTTTGCAAGTTGTAGCTTTCTGTGGGAACGTCCAATCTTCACTTGAAGTCTAATAAATCCTACTTGGCAGTAGGCGACTGACCACGACACAGGTGACAGGGGATGATCTGGGTATCAGTGGTTATCGGAGCCCTTCAAGGGCACACAATATAAACGTAGCTGTAAATGGAAGTAGGTGTATAGTGATTCTTGCAACTTCTTAATTCTACCGATATGTGGGTGGGTGTTGAACGTTGAATGTCGAGTCTTGCATGTCGCAGCTTTCTGTGAGATCATTCCGGCAGCACATCACCAAACGTGACCGGCTCAATAGTGCCATCATGTTAAGTCTCACTGAGCTCTCATAGACATCCACTACGTTCCATCATTTTACCATCACCAACCTCATTTGCAAATTTAAACCCGGATCCCTACTTTCCGAGACGCCGCTGCTCCAAGACCGAGAGGAAAAAGATGACTCGTAATGGTATTGATAGGATGGAGGTTTGAGGGGATCGGGTTATGGAAGGCCTGAGGGTGCTAGTGAGTCTCTTCTGATGATCTATCTAATTCTATCTATCACTGATCATCCGGATGTTTTCGACTGACCTCGATCCAGGCAATTATGCCACGCCACGGCAACGCACGAAAACACCCCAATCCCATCTGCCGCTTTCACGTCCCTTGACGACGCGTTGGGAAGAAGGGAACGTCAAAAGCGCTAGGAGGCATGGATGGAGAGAATATGTTGAACGAGGGTCATGATGGTGGTGTACTGAGGCTTTTTTTTCATTACTGATTCATCATTGAGAATGGGTCTTCTGTAGTCACAGACTTGTTAACAAACCGCCTGCCGCAGCACTATCACTCACAAGCTCTCCTGTGGTATTCCGAGATGAAGATCTCTCACCAGCCACCTGTCAGCCCATAACACTCATCCCCCGGTATCAAGATCTCATAACCTATGAGAGAACTGCAATTATCATGCAGTGGTGACGTCGCCCACATCTTCAACATCCACTCCTGTCCTTTACTCGCGTGCGCGATAGGATTTTTTAAATAATTTTGACCGTCTCGGGGGTACCGACGTTCTTCACAGGATCCGGAGAAGTGAAGATTTGGTTGATTGAGTACGAGTGGGCCATACGGTGAGTATCCCCCGTTTTCCTGCAGTTTAGTCACTCAGTCAAATAGTTGTAGAATCCTAAATGCGGTGCTCTTCAAGACCTTCTTTCTGGTAGGTTGTATCATTCATATCCACTCATTCTCGGACTCGTTAGCTCTCGAAATATTGAGCTCCGATATTGCCAATATTCCGTCTAGGTCCTTTCTCCCTTGACTACTCCAAGATGTCAGCTGGTAAGAGGTAGCATGGGGAGCGGTGGCGAGCCAATTACGGCTTAGAGCATTACACATCATGCCTGATACTCGAAGGGAATGGAAGGACATGTATGTATTCAGCCCCGTGGATTTTGTGAGTAGGCCTTGGTACATGTTCGCAATCTGGGTCCATCAAGTTCTCTATATAATGTTCCACGCGCAACACTGACCCGTTCCGTTTCGTTCTTATACCATGGGTTGCTAACGCGTCAGCATTGAACATTGATCGAGTAGGTCAATTCCAGTCCTCATGGATTTTTTTCTCTCTCCTCTTTACCCTACTAGTTGAACCATTCACATTTCACCTGCATGTCACTACATTACTCTATTATTCCAATGCAATTTGTAGCTATGGATTTTTCAAACCATTCCCTGCAGATTCACTGACATCATCAAGTAGTGAACTTGTAGTGACTCACAATTACATTGAAGCTTCATAGATTCTATTTTAGAGAGTCAATGCTTCCTGGTCTAATGTCTTTTTTATGGTCCCTGTTGTCAACTTCTTGGACTAAATTTTCCTAAATTTTAGATTTTTTTATGGTATTGGAGGTCAGTTTCCACTCCTTACATCAAAAATTCTGACAGAGTGATCCTGAGAGCTAGAAACAATTTCAGATCCATCCAGAGAAAATGCAACTGATTTTGCCCAACCAGTGTGACCCTACAAAGGTTCACCTATCATTTTCCCATGTCTAGCCCATCAAAGACTCTGATAGTGTTATCTCGAGACCCAGACACAATTTTATCACCATCTCTAAAGATGCCGCTGAATCTACCCATTTAGTATGGTCAAGGAAGAGGTTCATCAATCATTTGTCCACTTTCTACTTTTGACTGTGCAATCATCAAGCCTGGATACAATTCTGTTCATATTTAGTGAGAACGTGACAGAAGAACATGCACATAATGCAAGTTCATTGCTCCTGCCATGAACCATGCCTATTCAAAGACTCTGTGCACAGTCTGTCTGACCTTTCCGGGGTTTGCCACATATTTGGCCACTCTTCACATCCCAGGCTCTGATTGAATGATAAATAAATTGAACTAGAAAAAATATTTTTGTCCATCAGGCAAGAATGCAAATGCATTTTACATGGCTTGTATGTCCAGGATGTGGTTTGTCAATTCTTGGTCTACTTTCTGCATTCCAAATCCTGATTGTGTGATCCTCAGAGTCAGATATGATTTTCCCTCTATCTGTTGTAAATGCTACTGAATTCATATAACTAGTATGTCTCTAGAGTTGTTCCCTTATCAATGAAGCATTCTGTGCATCCCAGATTCTCACTGAATGATCATTGGAGGCAGAAGTAAATTTCCTTCCATCAGGTGAAGATGGAACTATAATCACATGGCCAGTGTGTTCATGAATAGGCTCGCCAATGACATGTCCACTGTTTGCATCTCGTACTTTGATTGAATCATTAGAAGACCCAGAAACAATCATATGTTCATCTGGTACAAATTCAACTGAATTTACCGGATCTGCGTGAGTTTGAGTTGGTTTGACCATCATCTGTCCGCTCATACCTGGGGTTTTATGTTTCTCTATCCCTGATATGGTGCCTTTCCGGGATGGAAGGGTGCTCAAGTACCGGTGCGGTGTCAATGAATGCAATCCAGCAATATTGAACTTGAGCTTTGAATACATAATGTTGGAGAGTACTCCGTACGCCTAGCTTTGACGTTTCCTTTTTCCTTCAATACTATACTTCCGTTTGACTGCTTATCTGTTACCTATGTTTCGGCTTACCAACCCGACCTGGTGATCGGGTTATATATCTTTCGTTTCGCTAGTTATTCCCTCAGTTGATCTTTACACTCAACTGAGGTATGTTTACTCATTTCCAGTTTCCCTATTCAAACCTGTACTTATACAATTCTTAGTCTTATCTATTCCTACAGGTACTAATACAGTTGATCTTTACACTCAGGCTCAACTGAGTCTTATCTATTCCTACACATAATATCCAAAGATAGACAGCTCAAAGCTCTATGCTGCTGTGGTGCATTACAATATTAGGTATGTGCACAGCCCTTGTCAAAGAGATAATCTGGAAATGCATGAAAGGTGAATATAATTCTGGGTGCTTTGTTTGGTTGATACTCGGAGGGTGTTCTGTATCCAAAGCCTTTTTCAATCTTGACTAAGCAAAATTGTTGTTCTCAGTAACCGATTTCACAAGTCGAGAGTCGAGTAGGTGGTTATGTCCTTATTTCACTAAACTTTCTTCCACACTGTGCAGATATATTTTGGAGTGTGTGAAACTAATTTTATGATACACAGGATGTTCTGGCCAGTTTTAGAATGGAAGTTTCATGCATTGCAGTTAATTCTTGTGAATGATTTCCATTAAAGGAATCAGAATTAAATCAATATTCAAACATTCATATCAATAAGAATTGCAGGATGAAAAGTGTGTAAACCTTTGGATTTTGCAGCAGCATTCCAGGAGTCTACAAGCAATTTCATCCGTTCATTGATTGTCTTTTTCGGCAAGATCTGGATCACCCTTCAACAATGCCCCAAGAACCTCGGTGATTGTACAGGAGTACCCTCCAGATTGATAGGCAACAATGACTTTTGTATGGCCACTGGAAGTAGGAAATTGTCTGGAGCAAAGAAATGTAGCAGCATCGTTAGTAGGTCACTGGTGTTTCTTTCAATTCAAAACAAGATTTTCCTCATAATTGAGCTTCTGCTTCCAGATGGCGAAAATCATTATGAGGATTCAGTATGGTAATGAGATAAGTCCGGGTATTTCACACGATAATAGTGTATTGACCCAGCCATAAGTGAATTGGAGTATACTAAAATCAATCACAAAATAAATCGGGATACTACTCAAAAAATATTGTATTTGCCCTGCCATAAGTGAGAATTATGTTTGTTGTTTAGTAGCTGCTGGATACTTCCACTATGAAGAATTCACAATCAGGAAAGATCAGTCATGTTATACATCAGAATCAATGCCTGCAGAAATTCAGCTCATTGCTATCATACGATAAGAATCTGCATTTAAATAAGAATTCCTTGAGCATATTTTCAGGAGGGTTTCAAAGTCGGGACTATCAGCATCTGAAAATATAGTTATTAGTGCAAATCAATTTGATCACTCAATTACATACACCCATTAAGATTGTTTGCTTTGAGAGTAGTCGGTTCACAGTTGGAATGATCAAAGTAATCATAGGTTCCACACAGAGCATGAGAGGCTTTATGTATCAAGGTACCTGCACGTCTATCACTGTCTTCTTTTGTTGTCCCAGAGAAATACCCCAGTGAAAATGTGATATGCTTGCTTTGAGGATCTGTGGCACCACCAGCACCATTCCCTGCTTCCATATCTACATCGGCAGGAATGAAAACTTTTCCTGTAACAAGCTTCTGAACACAACTGTGAATCTTCTGCACATCTGCTTGGGAGCCAAATGCCTTCTGGATGATTGTATTTGCATGTGGACCTTGCAATACTGAGTCAAGTGTTTCAAGGCGTGTATTGGCTGTACCATTCAGAATACTGATCCACAGTTGAACATATCACTTGCTTACCTTCATCTATGGCTTTCTGAAGCAATGCCCTGTCAGTTTGAGTTCCTTGACTGCCAAGTTTTGCTGCAAAAGGTAGGGCATGGATAGCTAAGCAAGGGTCAATCTCACTGCCTGTAAATGTGACTGTATATTTTGTTACCAGGTTCCATTTAGTGCAAATTATATTGGAAAAAATTTGATGCAATACGCAAGGCACTGTACTTGAGAGTTGGTTTTTATTCATGAAATCAGTTGCTAGTCTGCCTAGCTTCACTTTGATTCTATGCTTTGGGTAATTCGGTCATGTTGGCAGATGGATAGCATTCAAGTTCCCTTGGCGCTCCGGTCCTCATTTATAATGTTGATTGTTTGTATCAAGTTCCGTAGTTCCGGTACTGGTGCAAATGAGACCATCAATTGTACATAATGATGAAAAATAGGCACAGATGGAAAAGACTCATAAGATGTGCTAGAAACCCGTTTCACCAATAGTCATCATGCCACCCATCTCTTACAGTATTGCATTAGGGATATCATTCTTCACATTGTCCATGAATTCTTGCATATATTGCACAATGATTCCCTTGGACAAAGAAAGTGGTACACCGCACTCTTTCCAAGAAACCATCACTCCTGATCTTCATTCTGCAGTCATGCGGCTCAAACTGTACATTCCCAGTGAGAAAAAGGCACATGTGGTTATTACCATCCCATCATATTTTTCGGAACAGGAAGAACAAATTGTTTTTGATACATTCCAGGATCTAGATATTTTTCTCCCATACCCTATCCGCCATGCAGAAATTTTCCATCATGCTTTAGCTGCGGGGAGAAGGTATTGGTCACCCAGAAATGAGCTTGTGCTAAATATAGGAGATAATCATGCAGGAGTACAGCTCTGCATGAGTGATAGTGAAGACGGAATTTTTTCGACCAAAGTAATTGCTGGCATTGTATGTGATGCCACTGTGGAAGGCATACTCCAGAGCATTCATAGTGTGTTACAAACACTAGAAACAAAGTCACTAACTACTGGACCAGATCTTCATGCATTCCTTACAACCCATCTTCCAACAAAACCTACGCAAAGTTTGGTCACAGAGTTATCCAACAAACTTCCATCCCTTGCATTTTTTTGCTTCACAACTACTACTCCTGAGCTCCAAGCAGCAGAGGAAGCATTCAGGAGAATCACAGCCCGAGCTCCATTGTTCATCAGCAGCCTGACTTCTCTTCGTTTGGGCATTGAAACTGTTTGCAAGAATGTGTTATGCATACTTATTCCAAAAACCACATCTGTTCCTCGCATATGCTTCAGATACATGGTAGTTTCTGGTGATACTGCAACAGTAAATCTGGTTGCTGGAGGTCCACTGCATCGGGTACCTCTGGGAACAATCAATATAACAGGAGTCACAGTTGGCCAGAAGGTGTTGATTTCTCTGGAAATTGATGAGCACATGAGCGGAAACATGCTTGTTTCAGAGGTTCTGTTATCAGGAGGAAGAGGAAATCTATTAGGGCATATAGTGATAGAGTCAATAGCAGGGGGGACTAAATCGGTGGGAGTTAAATAGGGCAGTGAATGCTGATCAGAACATTGAGCTTGATGATTTAGTATCAGAATGTGCACTGCCTACATAGGTTTTAGCTAGGTGTGGTTTCCCACTTCGAACTCATTGAGGAGAATTTATTTCTATAGCACTGTTGTAGTAGACAATTAGCAGTTTTTCTGCAAGATAGTTCTCAATGTTTGTTGCTAGCTAGTAGCTACTGATTTTCTGAGAGAGTGCCATTTAGCATCTGATGCCTGTTGTCCAAGGACATTGAAGTAAATCAACTGTTTTGTTGTTTTTCTTTTCCCCCTTACCCAATGGCCTTGGGGTCTCATAGATCTACTTCATTGTTTTTTGCTTTCTTGCTACATTTCTCCGTTCTGTAGAGGATGCGATAGGACTACATGCACGGCTTGCCATTAATCGGCAATAGAATATATTAACTTACAAATGTACATACATTCGGGTAATTCGGGGGAATCAGCACTTGGCTTCCATCTACGGTATACAAGTCGTCGACGCGAGGACGGAAGGAAGACTCGCATTACATCTGGAGCCCACCGCAAGCTAAGAAAGATAGCTAAGATTTCGTCGGAACATCCAAACTTGACAGCGTCGGGAAAACCGCTAAGATTTCTGCCAGCACGAAAGGGCATATCATCAACGGCGCATAGACACTCCCTAGACACAGAGCGGCTACAGTACCTAGTCCCCGAGGAAACATCGCACCGTAAAGACAACAGAACAGACATAGACGTTAGACAACCCAGTGCAGACATAACGAAAGAAATACATACCAGTGAGTGGACCTCTCTCGGAACAACTCCCTCAACAGTATCTTCACTCTCTCCATTAACTCCCTCTCCACCATCTTCATCACGAATTTCACCCATTACAATGTCGACTACACCCACGCGCGCGGCTACGAAAGGTCCATCGTATATGCCAGCCCCAGGTTCAACACAAGCACCAACTAAGTTCAGAGGGAAAAATGCAGAACTACGAGAATTTCTTGAGGAATTTGATGGTCATGCGAAAGCACAAGAACTCACCGATGAGGAACGGGTTCATGCTGTTTTGAAGTACGTCAACGGACAGACAAAGCGCTATTGGAAAACACTCGACGGCTATGGGGAAAAAGATTGGAATAAGATGAAGACAGAATTGTTCGATGCTTACCCGGGTTCCAAGAAAGGACATCGTTACACAGTAAAAGGCTTGAAGAAACTTGCTGAGAAGAATGCGAAAAACCGAATTGACAAGGAAGGGGATCTTATCGAGTACTACCGACAGTTCCGAGTAATGTCGAGACTATTGAAGGACGATAAGAAGGTTTCGGTGGATGAGTCGAACCGCTACTTCTGGTATGGTCTTCATAAACACGACCGAAAGGAGATTCTTGGTCGCATTGAGCTAAAGGACTCGACATTCGACAGGACCACAGTTCCGGACATGGAACTAGCCTTCAAGATGGGTTGCGAAGTCTTTAGTGATGATGTATTGGGCATGGAGTCTGATGACCCCATTGCCGAAATGTTCACAAAGCCAAAGAAGAAGAAGGAAGGCAAGGTCGTCGTTATTGAGTCCACGAGTGAAAGTGAGGATGATGAAGATAGTGATTCAAGTGAGAGTGAAGAGTCGGAGTAAGAGAAGCCAAAGAGGAAGAAGACGGTGAAGCAAGTAGTGAGGACGAAGATTGTTGAGAAGCCGCAGACGGATAGTGTCGAAGATCTCGCCAAACAACTCCGTGCATTGAACGTTCAGGATGTCAATTACGCAGGAGTTTATGCCAGATTAGCAACAATTTCGCCAGTGGTTGCAGGTGCTATCGCAGCACTTCCACCAATTCCGCAAATAGTGACAACAGCGGCGATTCCTGCAGTCCAGATGGCACCATATCCAAACCGCCCATTAACCCCAGCGACGTATCCCAACTCGATTGAAATACAAAGGAACAACTACAGGAGAGGTAACGGGATGCAGAGACAAGCTCCAGGACCTCTCCCAGCAGATATCCTTTGCTTCTTCTGCAAAGAAAACCACCTGATCCGTGACTGTACCCATCTTCCCGAATATCTACGAACGAGCCGAGTATCCCAAATCGGACGTTGGTTCTGCTGGCCTGATAACCATCCCCAAGCACGTCGGCAGATTCCGTCTGACCCCACGACAGGTATAAAAGGTGTCATAGACAGGGAGAGTTCAAACTTGCCGGTTTTTAGACTGCCAAGCCATTACAGGAGCAGTAACGGTGGAGGCAAACGAAGATACATCTGCAAGTTCGTCGAGGGTGGAAGGAAGAATGGAGGAGATCATAGATGTGGATGCAATAGAGGAAGACGGTGATACATGGATGGCACCCCTGGAGCTGGAAAGGGTCGAGGAGAATGTAGGGATGGCAGTAACGCGTTCAGCTGGCAAGCAAAAACAGCGCGAAGAGGATACGGAGGATCAACCTAAAGCCAAAGAAACTCATAAGCAACCCAAGATTCCAGTAAACCTGCCAGGACCACTCACCATATCCGGAAGTAAACCTGCATTCACCTACGAGTCCAAAGCAGAGGATCCAAACGCCGCTACGAAGATGTTCCAAAGGACGTTGGATGTTGTAGTTCCAGATGTGACCGTCCGTGATCTCGTATCACTTAGTAGCGACTTGCGAAAGCAATGGATAGACCATACGAAAGTCCAACATATTCCCACTACCACGGATGAACCAACAGTCCAAGCAATAATCCGTACCAAGGAGTCCCTGAACCTGGAATACTCAACGCCGGTACGGATGATTGAAGTCATGTTGTTTGGAAGGTAGAAAGAGACAGCACTCATTGACGACGGGGCGGAAATCGTCATCATTAGAGCCGATGTTTGCAAAGAGATGGGCCTCCGAATAAATCCCGAGAAGATGGTTACAATGGAAACTGCGAATGGGAGCCGTGAACGGATGGAAGGGTGCACGGAATACTTGCAAATTGTTGTGGACGGACTGGTGACATGGGCCCATGCTTTCATCGTCACAAACAGTCCGTTTCAAGTTTTGTTGGGGCGACCTTGGCAGAGACATGTACGATTGTCGAAGATGGAGACAGACGAGAATGTCCTAGTCACAGTACATGACCCAATGGGAAGGCAGAGATCGAGGACAGTCAAAACAATACTAAAGGATATCGAGACACCGCCAGACAACTCAATAACGCCAGAGGAAGTGGTTCGGATGTGGGAAAGAGTTCAACTCGATATGTTGACTGACGGGGAAATCCAGCATCCGAGCAACCCAACATCATTGGCAGCCTTCATCTTTCATTCCAACTACTCACACAATCAAATCCACCACATTCTTGCATATAAGCGTGTTGCGCAGAAGGTTCAACCCATCCCGACTGTCATGCTTGACTATGCTAAGGTGATCCGAAGATTCCCAGAGGACCCTCTTCTTACCCTTCCAAGCCTCTCACGAAATCCACCACAGTTTCTCCCTGGAGTACGTCTAACGGAGGAACGACTGAAAGGACTCGGCATATTGAAAAACGGATTTCTATGGCCTGAGGAACGCCTACTGATGGCAGATGTTTTGAAGAAGAATGAGATGGGGATAGCCTGGGACGAGACAGAGAAGGGTCAATTCCGCGAAGACTATTTTCCTCCCCTGAAGATTCCAATGATAGCATATACACCATGGGCCGATAGAACACTGCCAATCCCACCAGGAATTCGAAACAAGGTCATTCAACTTGTTCGGGAGAAGGTCGCATCAGGACTTTACGAACCCTCGAATAGTTCATATTGTTCCCAATGGTTCGTAGTTGTGAAGTCAGATGGAGGTCTACGCATCGTCCATAACTTAAAGAAACTCAAAGCAATCACCGTTCGCGACTCAGGCCAGCCACCTATCATCCATCTCTTCATTGAGCAGTGTGGCGGGCGAGGGATATACTCTGGTATCGATGTAATCGCAGGATTCGATCATGGGACACTTCACGAAGACTCTCGAGACCCCACAACATTCGATACTCCTGTCGGAACATTTCGCCTAGCACGTATACCCCAGGGATGGACAGGCTCTGTCCCAGTCTTCCATGGTCACGTCGCGTTTCTGCTACAGGATGAGACCGAAGTCTCTCCAGATTTTATAGATGACTTACCAGTTTTGGGACCCGAAACTCGATATGAAAAGCAGGGAGGAGACTACGAAGTATTGGTGGAAAACTCAGGTATCTGTCGCTTTGTTTGGGAACACGCTCTGGATCTCAATTGCATTCTCCATCAACTCAAACATGCTGGAGTCACGGTCTCAGCAAAGAAACTCAAAGTAGCAGTTCCAGAGCTTAAAATCGTAGGAACGGTGTGCACGTATGAAGGTCGACTCCCAGACAACAGCAAAGTTGTGAAGATTCAGTCTTGGCCAGCTTGCAAGTCCATCACTGAAGTCCGAGGATTCTTGGGAACGGCAGGAGTACTTCGTGTTTGGATTAAGGACTTCGCACGAATCACCCGTCCACTGGTCGACCTCACGAAAAAGGATGTCACATTCATATGGCTACCAGAGCACCAGCAAGCTATGGCAAACACCAAGGATGCTGTGTCAAAATGCGAAGTGTTAGTCACTATCGACTACCTTTCCCTCCTTCCTGTCATCATGGCCGTCGACTCCTCTTACATCGCATGTGGTATCATCCTCTCACAAGACAACAAAGATGGTCGTCGCCACCCATCTCGTTTTTGGTCCATCGCTTGGAACGAACGCAAAGCTCGTTACTCCCAGGCCAAAATTGAGCTTTATGGCCTCTTTCGAGCCTTTCACGCAATGAAAATCTACATTATCGGAGTTCAAAAGCTTATTGTTGAGATGGATGCTTCGTGTGTGAAGGGCATGATCAACAACCCAGACATGCATCCGAATGCCGCCATGAACTGCTGGATTGCCGCTATTCAACTATTCGACTTCGACCTCAAACACGTACTGGGAAAAAATTTCCTAGGACCTGACGGAGTATCGAGGAGACGACGAACAGTAGATGAAG